ATGCTTGAGTGGTGGCTGAGTCGTGCAGGTACCGGTGGGTTACGTTAGATGCGCTCACCCTCATCCTTGCTGAAGGTGGCATTGGTTTAGATATTTCCTGTATTAATTTGGTCGATCATACATTGTAGGTGTTCTGCTCCACCCTGTGTTACATTCTTTTTGCACAGTCATCCGTCCACTTTTTCTCCGATATTCACGTTTAACAGGTTCTTGTACGACCTGTAATGATTCTAATTAGGGCGTCAATATAGCACCGTCATTGTAAGCATAGTCAGTGTTGCAGAACAACCCGGTGCCTGTAGTTATTTGCTCACATTTTAGTATACAGAAAATACATATAACTTTGCTTATAGCTTTAGACGTCATAATCCAAACAGTTACTGCCTATGTAGTAATGCCCCTTTCAGTGGTGCTTACTGCGTTGCATTCCACGCAAATCACTTTTCTGTAATATTTGTCTTCAGTGAAATGGCCGCTCACAATATTGCTAACATCAAGTGGGATCATTTTGGCGTTTATCGACGTTTCCAGTTGCCTATGGATGTTGTTGGTGACTTGTACCGGTTGTTACTGGTTAAAATCAATACCGTAGTTCCTGATTTTAACGGCAGACTGGGCTGGAAAGGTAATTTCGGACTGCAGAACTCTCTCAGATCTCAGATATTAAATAATTAGCTCCATGTATTTTTGTTATTTGTTATATAGAGTAACGAGATAATTCAGGAGGAGATATCTTATCAGTGCATTATTTGAACTGTAGAAATTATTTCTTGTTTTGTAAAATTTCTAAATGGAATACTGTAAAAGAGAAGAATGAGTAAATAAAATGAAGTATTACAACACCACTCATTGGAAAAAAATAAAATGAACCTAATTTTCAAGCAGTTCATCAGTGAATATTGTCTACTTAAAGGAAAATGACACTGAAACAAATTTTTAAGAAATTGCTCAATAAAAAGATGCTTCTAGACGAAGAAGGTGATATAATACATTTTTCAACTGACGAAGAATTGCGCAGTGCACTTCATATTACCACAGGCAATCAACTTCGTATCCAAACGATCAGTAAGGGTTTTTTCAGAATCCAGTTTATTAAAACATTTCTTAATACGTACTGCAGAATACTAGTTTTTCTTATTTCATCCTTTCTCAACAGAACTTTTATTGAAAAGTGAAACCTCTCCGGTTGTGAACATTCCAGAATTCATTACCGAATTTGCCAGTTTATTGCAGTTTTTTTTTTTTTTTTGCAATCAGATAATTTTTATCATTTTGATAGAAGACCTCCCGCAACATGAGAGAGAAAAATCATCGAGGGACACGAAGAAAGAAAATAAGAAAGTGGTATGTTTTATCTTTTTATCTGAAATTTGGGTTATGGTTTTTAAAATAAGAAAGTTGGTGTATTTTATAATGTTTCATCTCTTTTATCTTAGAATTAGGATATATATATATATATATATATATATATATATATATATATATATCGTAGCTGAGAATAAAACATTGGTTTATCACTTGTCTCGAGAATGAGTTGTGCAACGGAATGTTTAAACTGAGGGCAAAATGGAACAGGAATGTTTAAACTCAAGATTGGTGATTTCTGTTGATAAGGATATTTAGTGTAGTCAATAAATAGGAAGCTTCTTGTTATTTAAGCATCTCATTTAGTCCGTTTAGTTTGTTAATCTTTGCAGAAAGAAATCCATCCGTTTGTTACATGTAATCGTTGCGATCAGCCACTTTATGGAATTCGTTATAAATGCTGTATTTGTGATGACTTCGATTTGTGTGAAGAATGTGAGAAAGATGGGTGCCATCCAGACCATGCTTTGATTCGTTATGCTACACCACGAACACCGGTAAGTAACATTTTTTATACGAGGATTTTGGAGGGGATTTATTGACTTGGATGCAAAAATTTGGTTTAAATGAAATCCGTTTTACATCAAAGGCTATGGCGCGTTCACTATATCCTGCATGCATTAGGGCTGTTATAAGCGTCTTATGTTGTATAAAGGTGCAAGACACCTGATTTTTTTTATAGAAGTTTTTTAGAAAGCAGAAACGGTAATCATTTTCATCTTGATAAATCTAACTATCTCACTCTTGTAGAAGGTTGAACACCTCCGTCCGAGACGCACCTGGCGACAAAACAGTCATGCTTTTGGTCATCGCGATACATTTTCACAGGAAGGTATTTTCGGACGAACTGCTACGGCCGCTGCTCATGCTGCTCATAATGCAGCTAGTGCCGCAGCTCAGCACGCTGCAAGACACGCTGCAAGACATGCTGCAGCTGCTGCTACACATTTTGCTGATGTTAGTTTTTTTATTATTCATGGATAAAACGTTGGAAAAAATGCATCACTTTGGAAGTGAGCGCTTGTACTAAGTGGTTTTTTATAGACGCACATTCTTTTCAACCAGATTCATGACTTTGGTTACTTTCACATTTTAGAATACTAAAGAAAATACTGATGGATTTCCACCACAATTTCGGGATTCGGTAGCTCAAGGCATGGAATATCTGAAAGAAGTTGGCTCACAGATTCAACAGGCACTTGCAAATTTTGGTATTGTTTTTTATATTCATTTTTCCAAAGGAGTTTAATAGTGAGAAGGAGTATAGTTATTTTGCTGAAACCTAACTAATGTAGAATATGACTTTCATTGCTTATGTGTAAGAACGTTTGAAGTTTTATTCAGAAGCTTTGGGATAATGTTGAAACCATAAAAAATCAGTCTTAATGCCGTTAAGGATGTTAGAAGTATGAAAAACTAAGCTGATTTATTTCGTAAATTTAGGAATCGAGGTTGATATGGATGTGCAGCAGGATGATATTTCGGAGAAAATTCCCAAAGCAGAAGATCACACAGAGAGAAATGCTACGGAAAACAATATAGATGAAAATGATGAACAAAAGAAAGATAAAATAAACGCTTCAAAGATTGATGAGATGGAAAATGAGGATGGAAAACGGAAAAATGATAGTCCCAAGGTTCAGAATGCTGAAGCGGTAAGTACGGTGTGTTGAAGTCTTTTTAGGACTTTTTCATAGAATTTTGTCATCTCTTTCTAGCTATACAATTGTTTTTTTTTTTTTTTTCTTTAAATGCTTCAACTTTGTTAATGGTTATTAGACTACCCTTATCATTATTCCATTAATTGTTCATGATGACAGGAGCATGTTGTCTTCAGATTAATTTCTTTTTTTTTCCAGATCCCAGACGAGTTGGACGTACCAATGAAGAAGATGCACATCTCAGAGCATGAAGAAACCGAAAAAGTGGTGCAAAGTTCGAAAGAACCAATGCCTGATACTGTCGCTTCTGGCGATGATATTTCTGATGAGTGGACAATAATGGACATCACTAGTCCAGGCAACAAATGTCAATCAAGTATTTATTTCTCCACTGCTTATGTTATTTCATCATTGTTACATAGCAACTCCCAAATGCAGTATCACCTTACTTTTGTAAAAATATAAGAGACCCAGGCCTAAATTTATGTATTTAAACAAACCCTTAAAAACTCTGTATGTTATGCTAAATCGCTCCGGAATTTATATGCCTAGCTGTATTGATATCTTTGTTACGGTTTGTTTATATATGCTGAACAGTTATTCATGTTTTCAGATGCACCCCTGTATCCTATTATTACTGATGGAAAGTGTATGGCTGGTACGCCGTTCATAGTCCCACAACCTGGACCACACAATCCACACTGCTATTTCATTTACCCAGGTCACCTTTTCCTTTCATTTGCTGCAAATGATGGTTAGATAGTTAATTCAGAGTTAATTCATCGTTATGGTTTAGCCAGCTGATTTGTAAAATGAAAGGAAAAAAAAATTATGTTAACGCTTTTTATGTCAATAAATTGCAGATGAACATATTGCACTTTGTGTAATACAGTTGGAAGGAATGGGTTTCGATAATTGTAATGGTTGGCTAACCAAACTTGCGGCGGACCTAAAAGGTAACGTTAGTGCTGTCATCGAGGACATGAAGAACGATCCCGTTTATGCGAAACATTTCGAAAAGGATTTCTAAAAGTACTTTATACCGAAAAATAACATGTGTTGTACTCCGCTTGTTGTTTTGGTGATTTGTAAACATACATTATTTGCATTTTGTATATTTTCTGAACTTTTTTGTGTCATTTATATATCTTCACATCAGTCCTAGACTGTGTTCCATATTCATCTCCGTTCGTTGATTTAATTTCAAGCTGGTTTCAAATGGTACTGTTTAATGCAAGTCTTCGAATAAAACACATATTTTCAGGTAATATTAATAACTAATTGCATATATCTTCTCTCTTATTGCATAAAACTACTTCCTTCCGTTTCGGTGTATTGCGGAGTCTATAATTGCTGTGAATAAATGCTTTATAGAAATGAACCGTTGTCTTAGCAGAACGTTTCCATGACTGTAATAATTAGACCATTCTACTTGCATATTTACAGTGTATGTTCAGGCTTAACTGCTTCAGCAGAGAGCTCAGGTTCGTAAGACCTCAGTGAAGGATTTAAGGTATGGATTGAAATGTGTGATAGAAGCATCACTGTATGGTATAATTACTTTCTCCCTGTATTTCATTAGTATGTGATTGACGTGTTATACTTCTACAGTTTATATGTTGTGTAGATATCTTATGAGTGCTGAATACTCTTTCCAGGTTTGTCTATGTTACACTGGGTGCGAGATGTAGTAAGGCGCTCTTTTCTAATTGGTGAAGTAAAGTATTAACATTTCTTTATCTATCCATCAAATAAATAAAATAAGGAGAGGGAACATTAAATAGAACTGTTTATTAGGATCATATCGAAATTACCTTGAGGTTTATATATCGTGTTAGTGTGAACTTGATTTGTTTTTTACACATGCTCACACCTCTGTCGATTCGTTTGAAAGCGTTTGGAGCGGGAAAAATCATGGGAATAGTATATAATTTCAGATTCCATTTTGATTCATTTTTTAGCTAGTCGATCTGAATGGGCGCACTTCTAGCAACACCAGCATGCATCTCATCGGTTTATTTTACTTTATTTATTAATTTTTTTTTTTTTTCAAACACTGATCTTCCCATTCACTTATTAGCTAATGCCGTGCTCTGTTTTATCGATAAGTACTAGATTTGTTGTATATTGGTAACAAAAATAATAGTTAAGTAATGTAGCACTTGGCATGTCCAGAAAATATTGTTGACAAATAATTTTCATCGGTTGTTTCTACATTATTAATCTTTATTTGAAATAGATATTAGTGAAAATAATGCCTTCTATTAATTTTTCCTATTTTTAATTATGTACTATTCATTCGATTTTAACTTTTGGATTGGATGTTGTAATTTTCTACTCAGAGTTTGGCATAAAATCATGTTAACATTCATGTACTAACCATTGGTTAGTGTCAAGTATATTGCTGTATTCCTTTTCTTTTACAGTTAGCATGCTGCTGCGGTAGTGCGGCATGCTCTTTGTGCTGTGCAGCATGTCCATCTACTCGAAGCTCATTGACTACGAGAGTAATGTATGCTGGAATGTTGTTGATCAGTACATTTATGGCGTGTCTGATGCTTGCACCCGGTATACAAGCTAAACTTGCTGATGTAAGCTTGTTTCCGCCAAACTTCTTATTTCGTGTAGAGAAAATTGTTATTCTGATTTTCTTTTTAATTAAATAAGATTGCTATTTCCAGTTTACTATTACTGTCATGTTTTAATTTTAGTCAAATTGGTTTTGTGAGGGTCTCTCCGGAATTGCTGGAATAAATTGTTCTCACGCTGTCGGTTTCCAAGCTGTTTACAGGTATGAACTTGAATTTTTTTTGTTATATATATTTAATAGTTGTTCCAAATCTTCGAATAAAATTATAATAAGTGTAGTATGGTAGAGTTTGATATTTGAGATGCAAAATTTAGTTCTAATAAAGACATTGGGTATTCACTTAATTTATAGACTTTGCGGAGCAGTGGTAATTTTTTTCTTTGCGCTTATGATTTTGATGTTGGGAGTGAAATCATCTCGTGACACACGGTCAAAAATTCAGAATGGTTTTTGGTTCTTCAAATATGTGATTGTTATTGGGATCACTGTTGGGTTGTTTTACATCAGTTCAGAAAAGATTTCTTCGCGTTCGTTTTTTTTTTCGTGGTTCATTTTTTTTTTTTTTGATTACTGATTTTCTTTCTTATCCTCTTGGCATAAAAAATAATAAGAAATAAATAATAATGTAATACTGATACGTGGTAGATTTTTCTCTAGTTGTAAAATTGATGAGTTATTTTTTCAGCTTTAATGTGGACTGGGTTGATCGGCGGCTTTATTTTTATACTTCTCCAGCTTATTTTGATCGTTGATTTCGCTCATTCGCTTGCTGAAGGATGGATGGAAAAATATGAAGAGAATGAAAGTCGCACATGTTACTGTGGTAGTTTTTGTGAAACATTCTGGGAATAATGTTCAGTTTCATAACTTGTCATATTTATAGTACCTTATTCCGTATTTTTATTCGTGCTCTTATGTATGTAGAAATAATGGGAGATTATTAAACATGAAATAAGTTCCAAGTATAGTTAGACGAAGCATAGAAAGTCAAATGAATTTTAGAATATTATTAAAGAGAAGTTATTGTTGTGTGTAAATGATGCGAAAGGGAGAATGAAGTAGTTATTCTTTGTTTTAAGGGGAATTTTCAGAATTATCATTACGAAGTTGTGGATAGTGCTGCCACAATGGTATCCATAAATTTCTGGTTTTTATATTTTCCTAAGATTAATTTTATAGGATTATTGATGTTCACTTTCGTATCATATTTGTTAGCTGTCGGTGCAGTTGTGCTAATGTATATGTTTTACACTACGGTGAGTTTTGGCCTAGTAAATTTCATTCACATCAATAAATAATTTTTTACGAAAAACATTATCATTTGCATGCTTTTTTTTTGCAAGCATGTATTCTAAAAATATGATTTAAAGAAAGTAAGAACTGTTGCAGGGAAATTTATGTCACATGCCAAAGTTATTTATCTCTCTAAATGTCATTCTCTGTGTGCTAGTGTCTGTTTTGTCGGTCCTTCCACGTATTCAGGAACGAATGCCTCGATCAGGCTTGTTGCAATCATCATTCATTACTCTCTACGTAATGTACATAACATGGTCAGCACTAATCAATAATCCAGGTTCGCTTTTGTTTTCAATACAACTGATTTAAAAAAAATCCAATTTAAAAAAAGAAGTGCTGGAAAATTACCATAATTTTTCAGATAAAGAATGCAATCCTTCGTTGATTAACATTTTTAGCAATCATACAACTCGTTATGGCCAGGTAATTTTAGTTTAAAAGTCGTTAATTTGAAATGCAATGTTTTCTATTTTTTCATGTCAAAAAACCCTTTGATCATATTTCTTTTTTATATTTACTTTGTCTATAATTCTTGCCATATCAGCAAAACCAATACATGCTATTGATTTACAAAGCCACTGTTAATGCTGATGATTTTATTCTTTAGGATGTTTACGGAACACCAATACCAGCTGAATCTCTAGTTTCCCTTCTGATTTGGTTTATCTGTATACTTTATGCATCATTCCGGACGTCATCGAGTTTCAATAAAATTGCAGGCGGTTCATCACAGGGAACAGTAGATGATGCAGATAACGGTTCTCAGCAATACATTATCACATCTGAAGGTCCATCACACTTCACCCTATCATAAATAATAATTCTTAATAATCATTTTACTGTGAATTTTCAAAACTTGGAATTCGTGATAGGGCGAAGTTGCAATGGACTTTATACATTAACTGCTTTTTTACTATCTTTTCCATTCAAATTGTCTTTTCTTTTTTCCGTCTATATGCATGTTGACATAATTTTTGGATCGTAGGAAAATCTTTTGGTAAATCAAATTTTCGTTTACCTACTATTAGAGTATGTTTTGAAAGAGAATTATTTTAAACATTTAAACACAAGTGATCACAGTTTAATTTGAAAAAAAATAGATATTTGAAATTCAGAGTCCAAATAAGAATTTTTACTTATTTATTTATTTAAATGATTAATACTTCCATCTGCATGCACAGTTTATTTCTTTAGTTTTGAGAGAAATATTTCAAAGTAAAATTTTCAGATAATCTCGAAAACGGACGTGTTTGGGATGACGAGTCAGATGCTGTTTCATATAGCTATTCATTTTTTCACTTTGTATTTGGGTTGGCTTCACTCTATGTGATGATGACTCTCACATGCTGGTACAAGTAAGTTTTTTCATAAACATTCGAAGAAGGTTGTTGAGGAATCTACTTATTTAAGCACAAGGGACCGCAGTTTAATTTGAAAATTAAGTTTCCTTAGTTTCTCAGTACCAGAAACCTGTTTAAGGCCGGATAGTGACTTGCGTCATCTAAATAGCAATATGGCAGCAGTATGGGTGAAAATTGTGTCGTCTTGGCTGTGCCTTGCAATTTATGCATGGACGCTTGCAGCACCAGCACTTTTTCCGGATCGTGACTTTTCATGAAACTGGAAAAACTATTCCATTTAAAACTGGAGTAAATTTTGGGATTTCATTTCTCAGATTAAGATTTTGTACATAATTTCCCAATTGCAATACTGCTTCATTGCTTTTATTTTTTGTATTGATTAGAAATTCATTTTAATCTGCAGCCATTATTTTTTGTACATTTCATCGTGATTTAAATGTTATATATTTCTCGAATGCTTGCTTCATTATCTCCATCATCTCTTTAATATATTTTATATCCTTAGTACTTTATATCACACCTTTCTTTATATCATATTCTACATTTTCGGTGGAAACATTTTTAGAAAAAGAATATTATTTATTTAAATCAGTAATTAGGAGAATTGATTGACTGTATCATCCGTTATTGACATGATCTTTCCTTGTAGAATTATAAAACTGTATTCCATATCATAATTATATGATAAAGCATTTATCCATTTCCGGTTTTCTTTTCTGCATCACGTGGTTCCTGTCCGAGTGCTTTTTTCTTTGTGAATGAAATAAGTTGCGAATTGTTGACATATGATTGTGGTTTTGAAGACCTATGTTTTGAATTCTTTGGTTTTTAAAGTGTACGCTACATTATATATTATAAAATATCACTCTTATACAGGAGGAAGCAATCTCAATTGACTTCTTTTCATTATTTCAGGTCTAAAAAATGACTGCTGATTTGTTGTCAATGGAGCGGTACGTTGGGCCGGTAAGGGCTTCTTTGGCAATGTCATTTTTAGCGATGATATACACATTTCTGAAACAATTAGTAGTTTTGGCTCTTTGATTTATATCTACTGATCTAAAACCTCATAGTTTGCGCTGTTTTAGTAGCAATTTAAGTCCGAATAGATTTCACTGTTTTCAATTAAGTTTCGATTTAAGTTCCAGTTAAGGTTTCAATTTTTTTTAGGTGAACCCTTCATTATATCCACAGCTAGCAGTGCTTTTGCTCGCAATAGGTCTTTTTTTTATGGCTTGGTTCTTCGTTTATGAGGTGATTGTTCATCATACTATCTATTTCTTTTCTCACTTGATAGTTTCGTTTGATTTTATTACAGTAGCTCGTTATAATAGTTAATAATTGGTTCTTTACTTCAGTATCTTCCAGGTAACTTCATCGAAGTTTACTCGAGTGCTTATGAAGGAATTGTTAATTTCTTCAGTTGCGGCTCTTTTCCTTGGATTTGGTTCGGTTTTCCTCATGCTTTGGACAGGAATCTATGTTTAACAAGTGTGATATCGACCCTCCAGTTACTTGAATTTACTTTTTTTAACAATGCTAGTTTTTTGTTTTTTATTTCTTTCCATTTATAACTTATTTTTGATGTGAAAAACCATTTGTATTATTCACATCAGTTTGGACTTTAGAATTTCTGCGATTTCAAAATTTACTTTTTTTCTGAGCTTGCAGAGTTTCAGATTGTTTTGATATTTGCTTTTTCATATATTCCACGACCAAGAGGTCATTGGATTTATTGAAGTGTATCTGTTTACAGTATGCGTCGCTCTTATTCCCTTAAATTTTTCTAGAAGTTGTAGTTCTGTTGCTTCTGATCGCTATGATCGAAGAACAGTTTTTTCTTTGATTTGTTGAGTTAGTTCAAGTTAATTTGTTACTTTTTGTTGAAGAGAAAAAATGTTTCGAAACTAACAGTGTCCTTATGATGTAACAATCTATTTAAATTATGAAAAGCTCTGTATTATTTTATAAATTAGGCATAGCAAAAAATACAGAGATTTATTTTCGTTTGCTTGCCTCCGAAAATTGTTAATCAATTTAGGCTGCTTAAAATGATTAGTGATTCCCTAACAGTATAATTCTCGGTGAAATTCCATTTTTCAGCATACATGATATTTATATGAATTAGATTAATTTGCATTAAAACTAGCTAATAAGGTTTCCGAATAATTTAGTTCTCCGTGATTGCATGATTCAACTTCGAAGTGTGGTTAGTTTTACTGTTGAAACTATTTAAATAAATCTATTTATGTTTTGTGCAAACACTCTGACATTTAGCAATGTTTTCAAAACGATTTTCATTACCGCCGCAGTTCTGAGTACCAAATGGATAACATTTTTCGGTAACTGGGTCGAAGTAATAGCGCACCTGTAGTTTATCCCTGTCTATTGTATCATCGTTCGTTTCTTCGGTTGGACATAGCCCCGAGTCTGGAACACTTTATATTAGAGAGGGACAGCAAAACTCTAGACACCAGCTAGAAACTGGAATAGTTCTATTATTGCTGTTATCACTCTGACATTATCTTATGTTGATAACGGTATGTAGCTAAAGAATAGACATAACATTTATCTAGTTAGGTGAAATTATCTGCAAATATTAATTACCCATTTGGAGACTGATAAGAATAGAATACAGCAAACCTGGTGGGAGGTAACAAATACATGGGTAACGTTGTACATCGGTAAATACTGGAGGATCTGGTGAACGGGCAGCATCTAGTAAATTATACAGGAATATGGGTAAGGTTAATATCGAAGAATACATTACTCCTAAAATGCAATAAATATTTTAAAGGCTATGATATGTTTCTGTTGCTAATTGTTGCCCACTTTAGAGTGCTGGTCAGATATAGTCTACTTGAATATCACTAAGATATTTCTTTTCCCCGCTCCTCCCTTAGTGTTAAAAAAATTCCCTATTCAATATCTGTTTGATGGGTAAGCAAAAGTAAGTAAGTAATCAGTTGAAATTGAGTTTCAATTAATCAACCGAAATAGTTAAAATCGATGCATTAGAGTAAACAAATAAGTATACAAACAAGGGGATATGGACGGACTGAAAATTAGCAAATTCAAATGAAACTGGAAATGTGATTTATGAGAAGTTGAAATGTTGCTCTGTCATTAGTGGCTTATGTAAATGCATGATTAATTTTAAAAAGTACGCAATAAGTAGAAATCAGATCTTAATGTGGGATTTGATTTTGATTTCACATGGTTGGAAAATACCAAGACGAATGGAAGAAAATATTTTTAATAGATACTTGGAAGAAATAGTAGATAGGTATATCAAGTTAATTTTATTTCAATAATTCTGCGAAAAATTTTAATTTGAAGTAGCATAGAAGGAATCAAATAGAGTGAAAAAATCATTTTAATGAAAACAGAAATGTAACACTTGGATTCATACTTTCCGCAAAAAGCATTCTTAAAAGTAAATCGGAGGAATCTGCAGCATAGAATGAATAGAATTAGTAACTATTTGAAAGTCATATTATTTTTTTCAGGAATTCTATAAATCGTGTCACAAATGTCGCATTCATAGTCATTAATATGCAGTAGAACTTGTTTTAAAATTCGAATTTCATTCTTAATAACAAAAAAAAATCAAAATTTTTTGAAGTCACTTTTTAAAAATTATTCCAAATGTTTTCAATATGCTAATTTATTCTGTTTACTCTGACAAATAATTCAAGAAATAACTAGTGGATAATTAATTATAATTACAGCTACCAGTGAGCTGGAAATGAAGAGGAAGAAATATTCTTCAAAATTATTTTTTCTAGAGGAAATAAAAGTCTGAAAATGCTGAAAATGATTTTGTAATCAACCTTATTCTCTTCAAAATCACAAAATTAAAATTGCTGCTTTGATTTTCCTAAACTAAAATTCCTAATTCATAAGCAAACATAAATGAAATGAATCGGATTATTTACAAGAATTATAAAGGTGACAGAAAAGAATATAAATGCATATTGCCAAAGATTTTGTGACGAGCAACCATCGGTGACCTAAATATCCATCATTTCCCTCCTCACTTATGACCCTCTGTATTCCGAGAAGTGGTCAGTCTTTAAAATTTTAGATTTTCTTGTCATCATTATGGTATAGTGAAGTCGTAGACGGTTAATTTTTGTGAAATTGCATTAGAGCAAAAAATTGGAAATTGTTCAATAAAAAATTAAATTTGGATGAGATGGAAGGAATCGTTCTTAAGTTTCATTGGATGCTTGATTTAAAATTTTTGCAGTTGAATTCTGCTTAAATATGTCATATAAAATTTTGTAATGATTATTTAATGAAGTGATCGTAACAAGTTGAGTGATTGTCATTATAATTATTCATTGAATGAAATGAGAAAGAGTGTCAACTAAACTAACTTTATAATGAATCATCCATGCACTCACATAAGTTATCTGAGTAAGATTGATAATGCAAAGGTAAATAATCATGTAAGCTTTTCTATGCTAATTTTCCACAACCAATTTCGTTTTATTTTAGTTGAAAAAATCTCTTCTTCATAGATGTGAATGCATGTGAGAGCAATAACTATTCTTTTAAAACGATTATCAGTAATTGATAACCATCATTTTGAGCATAGACAACTCTAAACTGCAATTGTTACTGGAGTTGACATTTATGACATTTTTCAGCAAAAGATTTAAAAAAAAGGAAAAGCTGAAGATGAATTAGAAATAGAAGGAAACGAAGAATTATATAAAAGTAAATTTATAGCATCCAAACATAATTCATCAGACGAATACGTTTTTGTTTTCTGTTTGGATGAAAACTATTGTTATCGTTGAAAATGGGACGACGAAGATCGATCGTGCATTCACCATTTACAGTTGTGTGTACATTTATGAGTAATGTAAAGTTACTAGTAATTATCCTCATTCAATGGAATAAATGACCATTTGATATATACAGGTCAAATGGTGAAGTGAAGTGGTTAATGCAAAGAATAAGCGATGTAAAGTGTAATTTCATCCGCATATTTTAAATTTTCAGTGAAATTGGAGACATTTGCTTTTGTAAAATGTATGCCTTTGTTTTCTATTTAAAGTGGTAAAATATTGTTGGTTAAAAAAAAATGCATCTCTCAAGTAGTTTTAGTTAATATTTTATCAATAATAACTACAAAATGAATTTTATCAAATTAACATTTGTTACGGCACAAATTTGTAACAAGTAAAGAAGTGAAATAATTCGTCGTGATTTAGGAGTCCAATATCCAAAATTAACCTTTTTGACCTTAAAATAGATTCATGTATTGAAAAAAATTCGACCATCTTTTAAGAGTGACTCCATAGTTTGTCCATGTGTAGAAATGATAGTTATCAGTTATTGATAATCGTTTTAAAAAATAGTTGATGTTGCATACATTCTCATTATATATGTCAGATCACTTTAATGTATCAATTAAAGAAATAATTTCGCTATGCACAAACAAATTGGGTTATATATAACGACTATTTGGAGAATACATTGACACGATAGGAAAATGTCACTTTTTTTTCAATTTTTTAAATATACCAAAAGCTGCTTAAGGGTACTTGACCTGATTTTGTAATAACAAATATTTCCTCTTACGTAATAAACTTTTTAATTTAATCACTTTTGAATATACCGTATTCAATATTCATGTCATTAACATCTCGTCATCAAAAAGATTTCTACTTCATTTGTAAAATTTGATCCTTAATGAATTTTAGAACCTTATTTCTGTTGTCCATTACATTTTCTTCAAAAATTAAATCATAAAATCCGTATATTACCAGTTGCTAAATATTTTATTTCCAAAGAAATAATAAACCATTTCTGCGTTTTTCTATCAGAATAACTTTAAAAAAAATATATCTTACAGAAAACTCTACCGATAAACAAATTTGATCAGAAGGGAAAATTTAAACGGTTCTAATCCATCTTACTTTAGTGATCTGAAAATTTTCAACAGAATTTCTATAACAATATTTAGATTTTTGATAAAAATATTTGTCTGGTAAATGATAAGAAATCGATCATTAACTCTCTTATTTTAGTTTTAATAGAAAAATGTTTTTTTTTGTTTTACTTAACGAAATTAATTTGATTTGTTCTTTTGCGATTACTGATATTGTACAGAAGTATCAAACAACAGAAGAAAGGAAAACAAAGTGATCTGCATGCAATGGCTGAAGCAGTTTAAGAAAGCAATTTATTAATGAATAATTAAAAAATGTGTAAGTGTAAAAGTTATCACTTTGATGACATCACTCTATAATCTCTCATAAAATTTATAAATATCCAAAACATCAGTTGCATTCGTTGCTCGCTTGAAATTGCATTTAATGAACCACAGGTATCATTTCTAATATTCAAAACCGACAAGGAACTTATCAACAAATTTTGCGGTAAAACGTTTTTCAAAGTGAAGGAGGTCAAATGTATCAGAATTTCACTACTATTTTCTTAATTGTATTAACACATTGCTTTGTAGTAAATTTGAATAAAGATGCTAACTTAATAATGTCGATGGCTTTTCACTGAACAGATCTTCTATATTTGCAAAAAAAAAAAAAAAAAAAAAAAAAAAAAAAAAAAAAAAAAAAAAACAAAAAAGAAAAAAAAAACAAAAGAAAACAAAACAAAAACGACGAAAAGTCAAACTGAAATGTTATTGTGGAGGATATCTGAGAACGAAATTACATATCAGTTTAAGTTTTTCAACCTTCTCAGAGGTGTTAATTTTTGGATATCATGCCAAATTTAATTATTCTAAGATGATGACTTTCGACTTTTCCTGAAATCAAATTTTGTTAATCCGGCGAATTTCAATTAAAGATCTGCATGCTGCCTTCCCAATTTCATTATATTTATAACTCTCTTTAGTTGACTAACTGACATCAGTAATCTTCGTAATTCCTTTATTAGCCGATAAATTTTCCTGAAATAGCTATCTTGAAAAGTGGGCGTTGTTCAGAATTACTTTTGGTTTAACATCAATAAGCAACGATTGGTAGGGCCTTTGTTTCTCTCAAAGGCCATTTGAATCAGCGCTTTTCTAACCATACCAAAAAATATTCACAAACTGTGACACAAGTATGATAGCTTAGTTAGCTGACTTCATAAATGGCGTCACTGCAACGTTCCGCTGTCTTTCGACAAAGCATCCGACAATTCCAGCAATCAATTCAAGAAAGAGTAGGTTACTCCTATTGCTTACCTTTGGTTGGTAGATAATACCAGAACAATGCTACTTCACCATGTCCCCAAATTTGATGTCACGAAAAAGATTTTATTTTCAACTTAAGAATGGCAAATTAAAAATTATACTTTATGATTGATATTCTAAAATCATTTTAGGCATAGTCTCTAATTTCTTATCCTGAAATATTGTTCACTTTTTCTCATTGTTCGATATATTTTGTAACAAAACCAAATTTAACTAATAAAATTTAACATATACCAATGACAAATTCCTGATCCTTCGGATATATTTACTGATTTATTGTAAAGTAGAGAATGGTTTTGTTTTCATCAGTGTATGAAATAACTAATTTGAAAATTGAACAGTTTAACAGAGTTCAAGAACACTTATGAAACAGTCAATTTTCACAAAAAAATATTGAGCAATTGTTCTAGAAGAAATCATTGCTTATTGCCAATTCATAAACATTTTATAAGGTTTGTTGAGCTTCACGAAGTTCTATTCAAATAAAATTTGCTCTTTCTTGCACCAAATTTCAGCCTTTAATTATTGATATCGATAGAAAAGGCTTTTTTTTCCACTTGGTTCGAATAAATGATGCCAGTCGATACAACTATTATCGATAAAATTTTACTTCCACCTCATTATTTTAAATTTTTTAATTTTTAATTATCTTTTCTGTTTATTTTTTCTCCTCTATTCTCTAAATTAAGATGAGAATTTCTACCAATTAAGCCAAAAATTTTTAAATATTAAAAATGATAAGCGAAACAGAACCAATTCTAAATACCATTGGTTTAAAAATGACACTTCAAAAAAAGTGTGAGTACTTTGTCATTCAAATCTATTTCTTATAAATAGTTAGTAATATTGGAAGTCCAAAGTACATTAGAATACATTAATTACTTAATAACCAACCAGCAGTTATCTATAAATTTAATCAATGCTAGATTTTTTCTACCAATTTGTGATTTGAATGAAATGAAGAAAGCTCAGTATTCATAATTTTAGTTTAATAAAACACAAGTAAGAAGAGCGAATGAATGGAAATTATTTTGCATTTTTTTCATCTCGATAAAATTAAGATAAAGAATTTTTATGGATTTATTGATAAAACTTTTACACTTTACTTTACTGGTTTAGTCTAACTTAATTTATTAATTCTAAAAAATAGTTTCAAAAGATTTTAATAAATATTTACATTTTGTAAACAATAGTTCAGCATTTCTTGATGACATTCAATGTTTAAAACAAAAATAAATAATTTTTTTGATGCAAAAGGAAGTAATATCTTCAGGCAAATACAGCGGCTAATGTAATCCGTCAGGAAGCAGAAGTGAATATAAGACGTGTACGTCATGTGCCACGCTGGATACAACTTCTGAGGAAAGTATATCATGAATATGGTCTCAAGCATATTCTTCTAATCATTGTTCTCATCATTTATCAGTTTATTGGTGCAGCAATATTCTATCTTTGTGAAGCAAGTCATGATGAGTCACTTGAAACGTTTTGGAAAGAAAACATAAAGCGGAATCGAACACGTTTGATAGATGTTATCGTATCATCTATGCTCAATAACACCGAATATCTATTCTTTCTTACTTCCAATCAAACTAGACAGGTGAAATACAAAGAAAGAAACTGAGAAGTTTGAAGTATATTTATAAAATTGTGATAATATAATTTCCTAAATTGCATCGATAGCACTTGTTAATATGAAAATTGGGTTGGAAAATTTAACTGCCAAAATTTAGGTCAAAAGACGCTTAGGTCAAGAATTAACTTTATATGAAAAGGGCCTCGGAATTAAATATACTGATCAAAAAATCCGATGGGATTTCTGGAATGCTATGTTATATGCTCAGGTATTTCGCTTTGACACATTTTTGATTTTGTTAATAAATTAATTTTCAAATCAACTTCCCAAAAGAAAATGAATTGGAAAATTAATTTGAATGCTTTTTGCAATTGTTGAAATTATTGCAGTGTAAATGAGATATATTAGAAGAATTGAACAAGTAATTATGAATAATCTTATCCAAGTTTAACGATATGTCTTGTTTTCAGACAATTTGTACAACAATTGGTTACGGACATCTTTATCCGTCCACAACAGCCGGTCGTATTTTTACAATGCTTTATGCAATTGTCGGCATTCCGTTGGTGCTCAGTATACTCGATGATCTCGGTTCATTTTTTTTTTACTTAAAATTCACAGGAATACTTATCTTATGAATAACGTAAACCTTTTGGTATGGGTAAGTAATACTACTAAGAGGAGTGTATTAGATAAATGGAGCAAAGGATAGAAACTACTTGTTGTTTACGGTAATAAATAAGCATCTCATCCCGTATATTACAAATATCCAATATCTCCCAATGAAGTCTTTACAAAAAATGAAGCGATTTTGATATTTCAAAAATTTCTGAAATGTGTGTGACACCAAAAATGTTAAGCGGTAGTAAAAGGCTGTTTAGAGACATAATAGATTGCTTTTATTATGACCGTTTTAAATGTGCAACTGTTATGGCACCTTTAGTATTATAAGGAATGGATAAATCCTCTTAGTTCCCACCTCTGGGATTTATACTTCATTACAGAACAAAAAAAAAAAAAAAAAGATTTTATTTTTGATAGTCGAGATCAGGTAATATTTACATTTTCTTCCATCATCTAATAAAATTTTCAAATGACAGAGAGATGATAATAAGTTTTAAAGATGAGATTTATAATTGAAAATTTAATTCCAATAGTTAGATGATTGAAGTGAAGAAAGAAGAAAATGATTTCCAGTCGCAAATTAACAGGATTGGGACATTGAGAATAACTATTTTCCAATTTAGTATCCTATTATAATGAAGAACAAATTTCGATAATTATCGATTCATTTCATTTATACGTTTTGCTGCGAATTCAGTTGTAAATCTTTTAATCAACAACCTATTATTCCTTTTTTGATACATTTTCCATTCGTTTTTACCTTCTGGAAAAGTCAAGAAATAATATTTTTCACAAATTACTTCAAATTAAAATTAATGAGTATTTGTATGTAAGTAACTTATATCAAAAATTCGTTTAATAGTATGGTACAATACAAGAGTCTACGAAGTAAATTTAAATATGTTTAAAAAAAAAACTCTTAAGAAAACGAAAAGTCTGGATGAAATGGCGCATTTATTTTGCACATTTTGGCATCAAATATCAAATGAAGCTGGCATATTTGAATGAATAAATTCAAACAATTTGAATGCAATTTATAATTCAATTAATTAATTCTTCATAGAAATGTTCGTATTGCATTTCGCATATTCATTAAAGAGAAGAAACATGTTCAATTCCAGGTAAATTACTGACCAGATGTCTCAAAACGCCTTGGTACCTTACTAAATGCGGATGTCGCCGATTGTCCCGTTATTGCACGAAGCAGACAATGACCGAAATCTGGGAACTTGATGCAGAAGATAAAAGAGGTTTCGTTATTTGCTTTATTCACTTTTCTTTTCGACTTACTTTTTTATTGCTCGTCAATAATAATTGAAATAAAAAATATTTACACTGTATTCAATTTATAATTAACAAAAATATCTGCCAAAACTTTTACTTCTTGTGAAGAAATATCAAAATAACATGCATACATGAATGATTCATTCACGTTTTATTGATATTTGCTAGATGTAATTAGCAGTTCAAAGTTTATATTTCATAAGTCTGTGCAATCTTTTCACTTCAAATTGACTCATACTGTTCCATTGGGAGAGAAATTTCTGCTTGAAAAATATTTTCCAATAGTGACAACATATCACCAGTGTATAGAGTGATGTATTACGTCGTAAAGACCGACAACTTGTCAAAATTTTTTTCCTTCATATTTTTAGATAAAAATTCTAAATCTCAAAAGATTCATCCGTTGTTGTCGATATGAGTTATGAGGAAATGTATCAGAAACGGCGGTATATTGGTGCACAAAGAAGCCAGTATGAATATATTATTGGCTTCTTCGTAGCCAACAAAATCTTCCCAAGCAAATTATCCACCCAACATTTTGCTTCAATAGATATCAGTTTTGCATTGCTTTCTTTCAGAATCAATAATAACTTCTTTCTGCAATTTTCCTTCGTCTTTGAGCTTAATCAAACATCTAATAAAATTTATTTGGAATTTTCACTAAAGCCAAGATGATATTCTCTTCAACAGTCTGCTACTAGAGTAAATATCTCTGGTAAACAGCAGTTCAAAGCTGTTAAAATTTTAGATACTATTAAATAATCTGTACTCGCTTCTCTAGCTCTATTCTCTTATAGACCCACAACTAACTTTTTTTAAGATGAGAAATAAACAAAGAAAATTTGAAAATTTTGAAATAATTTTTTAGATTTGGAAATTTTTGACTTGCCAATACCGATAGCAATATCTGTTGTTATTACATGGATATTTATTTGTTCTGCGACATTTTGTCTTTGGGAGAAAGACTGGGATTATTTTGTTGCTTTTTACTTCTTTTTCATATCTTTAAGGTATAATGCCATTATCGGTAAAATTAACTATTAAAAATGAAAAATTTATTTAAAATCATTACTATTGCATCCAGTTACAAAGATGATTGAGTTGTAAGAATAGTGGAATAAGTTTACTATTTACTATTCAATATATAAGTGGCTAAAAGAAATATGAAAAATACAATTCAATAAGTTAATCTGAAAGTAAATATGAGAAAGACAACGTTCTGGAAAGCCTTGCTAGATAGAAACTGTCTCAATCATTTCTAAGTCAGAAGCATACAGCACCTGGAATGTCCGTTCATCTGTAAATTGTTTATTTTTGTTTTTAAAATATTCACGTGATCCTTTCTCACAAGCAATTTTAATTGCAGCACAATTGGTCTCGGTGACATCACTCCAACACAGCCAAAATATTTGCTCATGCTATTCATTTATATTATTATTGGTCTTTCATTAGTTTCTATGTGTATTAATTTGATTCAAGTAAACGGTTCAGTTATTTATTGCAGAGTTTTCTTTCTTTGAAATCTTTAATTAGTTCCAAACAACTTTGAAAGTTATAACTTAAGTTCGAAGCAATATATATGTGATATATGCTAAATTTGATGAATTACGGCCCTTCTAATATAAGACAAGCAAGTATGCTTCTCAATTGATATTTTATGTAATATTTAGTACTGTTGATAACTTCTTAATCATGAGAAATAAAATTTCAATTCCTTTTAGAAAGTTAATTTCAGTCAGAAATGGCTCGAACATACGAAGTTGGGCAACTGGATAATTTAAGCTTAAACTCGGCTGACTTTTCTTCCGAAAGCATGAATCAAAGGTAAGCAAAAATATTTAAAGTTAGTGTTTTGACATGAAATAACCGTTTTTTTTTTTTTGATTATGGCGTTTATAATTTTCTGTCATTTCCATACTTTTTTTGATTACTTAACTATATTCTCGTCTTATACCAAATGACCTTAAAGGAATTGCAGAATTTGCAACAAGAATTGTATTAGCTCAAGCAATGGAAGTAATATTATTGATGGTAGTGCGCGATCGTTGTCCGATAATTCTCTTTGGCGCATTTCAGTCAACAACAGGAAAAAATTTGATAAATCATCGCAAACGATGCTATCATTCCTCAGTCCTTGTGGAAATTCAAACATGTATAAGTATGATTATAATATAGGAGTAAGCCTTTTTACATTTAACTGAGAAAATTGTAAATGTAACTCAGAGATAAGTTAGCAACTAAAGATACTTTCATTTCTTTACTCATTTAAATTTAATGAAAAACAACACCCTAAAAATAAATTTTGCTTTTTTCTTCTTTTAATTTTATTTTTTTATTGTAGATTAAGTTCCTACCAAGGAATTTATCAATCGATGATGTGATGAAGCTAATGGATACCGAAGAAGAAGATATTTTGGTACTAACTGGACTTATTCGCGCTGATAGCAATGTTTCGGATAATAGTGATGATAGTAGTTAGCTATGTGAAGCAAGTAAAATAAAGGTATCAAAGAATGATCTTGTTGTGATAACGAATTTTAAATATTTTTAAACAATAAATTAATCAATAATTGAACAATTAAAATGATAGGACCGCCCCTCTCTTGAACACATTTCAAGCGCATATCGTAATTCTAACATTGTGCTAGGCGTAGCCCTCGTCACATTTTTATATTTATTTCCAGTTCATTCATTCAAGACTATTTGATTATTACCCTAGAATATTCTCTTTATTGCCAAATTCACCTTCAACTTCTCTCATTCAGGTAAGCACTAATTGGACGATTAATTCCTGTCCTTGCTTCAAAAAAAAAAACCAATAATAGCACATGTTTAGTGGAATTTAATGCAGTCATTATGCTTGCTCGCAAGGATTTTGGTGTCGTTATCTCTAGCGAGAAGCAAAGCCAAATGAACTAAGCTTTTAAACTGGAGTTTTTCATTAGATTTCAAATGACATCAAATGCAGAATACATTTCCGAACCTAAATGGAGCTAGCATGACGCTATCAATGCATGATATTGAAACAAATGACGAGATGGAGGATCAAATTCTTTTCGAAAGAGCTGCTACTATGTTAAATTCATCTGCTTATTTTAGATCCAGGTAAATTTCTAATAAGTTTGTAAAGCATTTCACCAATTTGGGATATAGTAATCAGGCAGTGTTTTATGAAATTATTGAATTATTACTAATTCCAAATGCAAAGAAACTTTCAAATCAAGGCTGAATTTGGTACCCCAAAGGCACAATATCACTGAAGATGATAAGAAGGAAGAAGAAAAGGACGATGAAGAGATATGTACGGTGCATACCAAATTTACTGAAGGACCTCAAATCTATACGGAACGATTTAGGTTTCCGTTATATTTATGCAATATAAGAGGGCTCTAATCTTGATCTATCTTAGAAATTAGAAGTTCCTTTTGGATGTGGAACATTTTTAAAATTCATTAAAGTAGTTCTCTTTCACAAATGTTTTAAAAAATGAGAAATCCGAAAAAAAGTGGATGAAAGCTTTTGGGCACTTAAATGGAAAAATAAGAATTTTAATTCATTGGCGCCTTATATCGTTATCATAAACGTACGCCCGAATTTTGGAATCGAATGAATCCAACTTTCAATAATTTTCAATAAGAATTTCAATAATCTTTCAACTTCACCCCCTTCCCCAAATTATTAAACAATGCTTTACGAAATAATTTGTGGGAATCCTTTATGAGGTGATTGAGGCATGAAAACAATCATGGAACGAAAGAATGTCATGAACAATACAGAATCAGCTTATGCAATAAGTCCTGCAACAGCTCGAACACTTCGTAATCATGCTATTAGCACATAACAAATTTAGTTAAACTTATCGATTGTTGATATTCTAATATTTGCAGTTGCAAGTTAAAATCTGATAATATTAATCAATGTCTGGATAGTCTCGGTTAGTCTAGTCAAATAAACTATTTTTAATTCACTGATGTTGGATCTATTTGATGGGTACAATTACTTGAAGTTGTCATTTGCTCTCAGCCTTAGCATCAGTGTTTGCGAAAAATTCTAAGTGAAGTTCTAAAAAAGATCCAAATTCTGTAAATGCAACGTAATAATATATCGATATAAATGGATCAGTTGTTGTAGTTTTTACTGCCAAGAGATTTCATCTAAACTAAGACTTTTTATCTAGAAATCATGTCAAAAAAATCCGTTTCAATCCTTAAATTACTTCAATATATAATAAATTTTCTTCACGTATGAGCACATTCTCCACAAAAATTATAACTATATTTATGAAGCATGTACAAAAAAGCATATTCAGATCCTTGGAATTTTTCTCGGCCTTGGTCCAAGCTCAGGAAGCGCTGACTGTTCGGTTATAGAAACAATTTTGACACCAGCAGTGGCCATACCTTGTATGGATGTCATTCGACCTGGACCAAGTCCTCGAACCTAGAACGAAATTATTGCGCAGAACTCAAACATAGCGCAAAACTGGACAATTTACATCTATGTAAATGAAAAGCGTCATAGAAATCAAATAAGAATTCTGAATCATTGAAGTAATATTAAAGCTGAGTTTGAAGAAAGACAGTGGACAATATTTCCAATCACTAAAAGAAGATGAAACGAACCAATACGCGAACTGTTCGAATTCCCCGCCTAATAAGCCGTTGTCCAGCTGCAACACCCGTCGTTTGGCCAGCAATATTAGTCTTTTTTCGGGCATTTTTAAATCCTTCCAAGCGACAAGAAGTATAGGTTATAATATTATACTGCAATTACAACCATCCACAGAATGTGATTTTCCGAAACAACAAATATAAAAGTTAAATTCGGACATATTTAAGATTAATTAGAATGTATATCAAGTGAAAACTAAAAATATTGATACCAGCTCTTGACATTTCTAATATATTTCAAAATTAGCACAAGTAAAATATAATCGGCAATCAAACCAGTTAAATCGCGAACTAATGGAAGCTAGTTAACTAGTAAAAAAACTAAATAGGAGTAAGTAATAAAGATCGAATTGTAAAACTATAATAACAATGCGTGTACCTTGTGATCAGTGACAGTAACTAGTGTATTGTTCCTTGATGCTTTAACATGCACAATTGGGAGCTCTTCAAAAGGTATACCATCAAATTGTTGCTTAAATATTTCTACTGTAGGTAAACGATCATGAAAATTCGTTAGACTGACTGGAACCCATCCTGAACCACCCACAGTACCTTCTGCTATAGGTGTTTCCATTTCTTTTTTATCAACACCTGTAAGTTTTCAAGAAAAATTGTTTTTTTTCTTTTTTTTCCTGGAACAAAAGAGAATAATGGAAATACCTGCAAACACCAACAAAGAATGCAATATATTGAAAAAGGGAGATAAAAGGAGTGAAAAAAGTAGAAAAAGTTTTAAAGGCTGTAACTCGAAATTAATTAGCTACCTGAATCTCTCCACTATATGTTGCAAAACTTTGCTATTTACTAGATGATGTTAACGGAGAAAAAGAACCTTCTCATGAAACAATTCTAAAATCTCACCAACACGGGACACTTCTTTGATGCTCTTGCGATGAGTCGAAGAGAAACTCAGAAAACAACACGTGTGGCTGTAACTTGATTGAACTGTTTGAAACAATCGCTCCAATATCCGATTGACATTCCTGGACATCTGAAAATTCCATCAAAAAGTTGCAACAAATATAATAGTATTTAAAGCAGGTAGAATAGAGCAACGACAACTTTTCCATAATTTTTCGAACAACTAGCAGTATAATACCTGTTTCATTACATGCCTTCAATACCATTCCAAAGAATCTTTTGAATTAAATATCTCATTTAATCTTTATAAATTTATAATGCTTAAAGGAAAACTATAACAGCGGTTCAAAGGCCACATGCTAAACCTCAACACTTCAACAATGCAAGCTTAATCCAAATGGAATGAACATTACTGCTGTGTCAATCTATCACAGGCCACTTTCCGGTCTGTTAAATGAAGCGATTCTCGATTGTTAGTATTCTGCTACGGGTGTGAAGGCTTGGTGAGTGGTTTTCTTTGTCACTTATAAAATTTGTAAACAGCAGAACAAATTATAGGATGACATCGTTAACACAATTGCATTCAACTGTTGTCGTGGCTGATCCGGTAGGTTCCTCTTGTTTGTGCCATATTTTAGTTTACCTTAAATAATGATCTACTTGTGAAGTTTAAATCAACTAAAAATGTCAACGGATCATGTGGAGCTGTAGGTAGTACCGTACATGGAGGTGATTCCGGATGGGCTATATCCAGGTCGAAGTATTGTTATTAGGGGAGCCGTTCTGCACGATCCACACCAGAAACGTTTCGTCGTAGAATTTTGTTGTGGTTTACTGATTCAAGGTGATCATCAAGATGACAAAGCTCTGCATTTCAACCCTCGATTCGATACTGGTAGCTCATGGTGAGTTATAGTACTTTTTATAGTCAATCAAAGTACGATACCATTTAGTGCATAGAGTTGAAAATAGTGCATGTGATAAAGAAGATAAAGGAGCTTCCTTATGTTTTAATTCGAAGTTACATTGTTGGGTTAGTTGCAAATTTAAAAAGGCTTCTCTAGTCCGCTTAACTTCGTCAACTGAAAAGAAAGTAATGTTGAAAAACAAGGACGGACATGTAATAAAGATTATTATAGGTTTAGTCCTCCACCTGATCGACAAATTGTATTAAATTCGTTGATTGGCAATCGATGGGGTATGGAAGAGCGCTACGCAAATGTTTTCAAAGAAGGAAATGAATTTTCAATGCGCATATTAGTGCTCGCTAATTATTTCAGTGTATGTTGATCTTATGTCTAAACCTCCTGTCGTTTAGCAAAAATGGTTCAAATTTAATATTAAAAGCACACATAGTTTGGATTTTCGCGATTTTTATTTCAGCATTTTAGTTAAAACTTTCTGATGGATATGGAGATGGTTGCAGATTCAAAATAGCCCGAAATAAATAACTGAACCAACATTCTGCCGTTAAAATTGAATCTATATTATAAATGATATTTAGATTGCTGTGGATGGTCGTCATTTATGTGATTATTTACATCGAATACCGATTACTAATATTAGGACAATGTATATAGGAGGCAATGTCCGAATCAACACCATTAAATATGAGGGTATCGATGTAAGTGTTTCTTCCACTTAATTCCAAATTTGTTTGTTTTATTCTCTTTATCAAGTTTAATTTGGATTGATTTTCACTCCTTGGTTTAAGCATAGAAATATTCATCATGGAAGATCGATTGGATATTTCTTTCAAATGTACCTAAACTGTATGTGCCTTTGAATATATGTACGTTTTGTTAAAGTTTTTCATTCATTTAACATTTCTAAGATCTTTGTTGTTCCGTCTGTTAAACTGTTTGTAATGGATACCATTTACGAATTTAAATGGTGATCTGAATGATTGCAATGGCGTAGTCCTTTTGTTGTCAAATGTATTGTATGCTTGCTTATTCATGTTTTGAAATGTTTGTAGTTCACTGTCTTTCTCTACAACGTCAAGTTAACGATTTTTTGAAACCTAATCATTGAATGCATGCAAGTCTCATGTGAAAACAACACAAGATATTTGAACTTATATTGGTCTTTTTTTTTTAATTTTTCACTTTATATGAAATTTCAGTGGAAAACTGCTATTATAAGGAAAATGGCACATGGCACATTGTAATCAATATATATATATATATATATATATATATATATATATATATATTGCCTGTTATTGCATTAATTTTTAACCATTTGTTTTGCTTAAATCTCTATGATTTCCATGTTTTAAGTATTAATATGTTAGATGATATATGATGATTACTTATTTTTCGCGAAGCAGACAATCGCTTACTGACGTCAAAATCCAAGACATCTCAATGCTTACGAATCTTCATTGTTAAATCTCGTGTTAAGATATATCTCAGTATATCATCTCTACTTCGTTAAATTGTGGAAAGAAATGTAACTTCTATTTTTTTTTAAAATGAAACTCTGCAGTTGGAAGATTTTGGATGTGTCTCTTAATCAGCCATGTTTTGTCACTCATTATTGAACATTTTGAAGGAAGTTCTAGTTATTACATTAATAATTGATTTATCTTGCCATCGTGCATTATTTTCAATGAATTTTTAATTTGCAGAATGCTTCAACTTCCAAGCAAGTAAAACTCACTGATGAAGTTGGTAAACTTTCCAGCAGCAATGTCATTCGCAAGCCTGTTAGTGTATAATTAAAAACAGATTTGTAGAGTTAAACACTGTTAATGTTTGTAATTTATGGAATAGAATGCAGTAATCTACCCGATATTTGGATGTTGAAATTAAGGATGGGCTTTCTGGTCTCTTCTTTATTTCCCTTTATCTTCTCATTTTTTCCTTATTTCAAAATTTCGTTGTAGGATTAATTTCTCTAATATAGCAAATTGCAGAAAGTCCCTTTTGTAATGCGTTTGAACGAGAGATTGTCACCCGGTATAAAAGTATTAGTTACTGGTACACCGCTAATGAACGCTGAATACTTTACCATTAACTTTTTGACACCGATGGAACATTTCTTTCATTTCCGAGTAAATTTTTCAGTAGGAAACGAGAAGGTTTGTTTGAGCACATTTCTACATATTCTCATTGAAATTTATTGATATTTTCAGTCTTTCGATTACGTAGTCTAAATCCATGTCAAAAAAAGTCTGATCAGTTTTTATTGGTTATGCGTTATTGTTAACTTTCAGGAAGTAACAGTATGAAAGAGTACTGAAAGTTTCAGATAGTCTCAGATATGTATATTTTATTTTTGTATTTAGTCGTTATGGTTTTGCTTTAAAATTTACTTCAAGAATTATTATCTGTTTCTTAAACAGGAAGCGATAGTGCGAAATAGTACAGAATTTGGAAAATGGCAAAAGGAAGAACGTGAAATGTGCTCCTTTCCTTTTCGACAAGGAATCACCTTTGACATCATGTTTTATTTTGAAGAACAACACATTTCCGTAAGTTTATACCGTTTTTATAGTTGATGAAATCTGTACTTTCGTAAAACTTATAATTTATCTTGCATTTTTTCCTTCTTTTTTTATATAGAATACCTTTTGATGATGAGTGACTTCATTTCCGGTAGTAATCTTATTTATATTTAATTTTTTAATATATAATTCGGGATTGATTTTCTGATATATCCGGAATAAGGAATGAGGCATTTTTTAGTAAATTTTTGCTGAAAATTAGTGCTAACATAAGTCAAGCTGGATGTTATAAAATAACCCTGATAACATAACATTTTAGTTCTATTTTATAAGCATTTATCTGTTTGATAGCACACTTTTATTTGAACAATAGGTAATTGTAGATATATAATGTCAAAAATAATTTTAAACAAGTACTGATTTTCTTGTTTCACTGAAGAGGTAAGCCGGGATGGTTTCTAATAGTTTCATTTTGAATGTTTATTTCAGATAACAATTAACGGCAATCACTTTGCTAATTTTCATTACCGAAAATTTTCCAAACTGATTCACATCGAGACTATCACTGTCAAAGGCGACTTGAGTCTACAGAAAATTGAGCTCCGATGAATACAGCTTTAGCACATATCGTTAGTTTTTTATAAATTGTCTTCAGCATTGCTTACAGTCATCGTAATTTCTTTTGATTAGACGTTGCGTTTATTCTCTACTTCTTCTAGTTGTTTGTAATCTTAGAAATAATGTTGGGATTATAATTAATTGTTTTGACAGATTACCATTTATGACTAAAAGTTTTCCTCTTGCTATTCCAACACTTTATTATAGGAATATAAGAATAATTGTACTAAGTAAGTAAATGAACAAAAAATTTTTAGAAGAGAAATAAGTAAGTTTTACTAGCAGTTTATTTGATAGTAATTGTCTCTTGCGGCCACTACCGGCCACTTTAAGATATTATTTCGATGATTGCGAATGTTTGCATCCATCTCTAAAATGCATGTGCTTCACCTCTTATTTTTATTGTTAGATATATAATGGCATTGAAACAGTTGTCTTTCTATTAACAAATAAAAATAATAGATAAAATGTCAAGCATTTAGTAAAATAAGTTTTATTTTCAGATTAATTATTAGTTACTGTTGTATTGTCGTTTCGAACACAAAAAAGAACATTTGAAATCGAGGATTTACCCTTTTTATGCGGCTTTCATTTTACTTTTTTTCTTACTTTTCAAACAGTATATCTTCCTTTATAGTACTTTTATGGATTTTACAAGCTCAAATAACCTGTTAATGTTTCAAAGTTCGTCTCTTAGTACCAATACCAGTTGATCAGTGATGATATTATTAATGTTATTTAGTTATGATTTTAACCTTTTGTCGTAACTTACTTATAGTACTAGGCTTCGTTAAGGTAGAGCTATATGTTTTGTATTTTAACAAAGTGCTAAATCCAACAAGACTTGGTGTTGATGCATATAATTTTAAACAGATAATTAGAAGGATTGTTTTAGTTGATTTCCAAAGTGTTCCTTTTTACATTTGGTATAAAATAACTTTTATTATTTTCATTGCTTATCTTCTTTACTTTAAATATTCTTTCACAAGTTTAGAATTCTTCTTGTTTGACTAGTATGCACTTGGTCTAGAAAGTTTTCAGTGTCATGTAGTAGTGTTATTATCAGTCGAGGCAATTTCACATATTTTAAAACCTTCCTTTTTGCCAAAAATATGTTTACAAAGTTTGCTTTCAAGCTATCTAATTCAATGTTGAATAAGTTGTCCAGTCTTCTTTCTGTTTTTGTTACTTTAAATGAATCAAACAAAAGTGGATTATAAAAAGCACTTACTCAACTAACTCAGCTTGGAAAGCACAAAATAATGATTTTTAATTCTTAAAATATATTCTTTTTTTGTGCTTTAAAATATATTTATAATTTACTTGTATTCAGGTTCCAACCAAATAGACATTTGCTTTGTATTTTTATCGTTTTCGCAGATAAAGCGTAAGAACTTTTGATCCATGATATTGTTTGCTGTAAAAACCTTTTCTTGACTGAAATATTGCAAAAGTTTGATAATTAATTAGTTTTCCTTTGTTTCTGTATGTTATGTTACTTCTTTATTTACGTGATTCGTTTAAAAATCCAAATTTATTTAGAAAATAGATATTCAGTTGCTATTTAAAAGATAGAGATTGAGATATAGTAAATTTTTTCCAGAAGTTGAATACCATCTCAGATGTTTCTACGGCTTTAGAAATATGGGATTACGAAGGAACTCTGATGACTTGAATGAATAGACACTTCCTGATCTTGACATTCTGCGATAGTTGTAAAAAATAGTAATTGTCGAATTTGTTATTAAATTCTGGTTCCAAACACTTTACGCCTTATTAAGATATATGATAGATATAGAGGCCTTCATTCAGTGGGTTATGGCATCGTTATTTACTTTTACTGGATGTCTTTAAAACATTCCATCTACTTTGGACATTAAATATTCTCATCCTACTTGACACTGGGAAAATATGCACACCCGTATTAATGTTAGCAGTTAGCAGTAGTAATTCTCACTGATGTCTATCACTACAGCTGCAATTATTGCTCTTGGGGGGTGGATTGGTAGTTTGGTATCCGTTAACATCCTTCATTCCACTTGTCCTAGCCTGACTATCTTACAATTAGCGTCTCTTTCTTGTCTGCCACATCATTCTGATTATTTTCTTACTCCTCTGCTTACTTGTTTGCTCGAATCTATCACTAAAAGCTATTCGTAAATGCGTCTTATTTATGTATATATGTATGTATGTATGCACACTAACTGATGCCATAAACACGCTGCATTCACAAGATAATTAGCTGACTCTGGTGGGCAAGCAAGAACTGCAGCAGTGCAACTGTGAAGTTGGGTGATGGAAGCAGGGCATAAGCTAACATCCATGCAGCCACTCACTTAGGGCCAATATTCTACCATCGGTTGCTTCCTATTTACTGTGAGTGACATGTGTTAAGTTTTTATATGAATTTTTATGAAAAATAATGTTTGGTAAGTATTCATATGCCGACACTTTTCTCTCCAACGATTTGTCAAATGTTATCCCTTACATTCAGATACGAATTGACGTGTTGTGTCGCGTAAATTGTATAGTTTATATTTTCATAAAGTTAATGAAAATTATCATTAAGGGAAACAATGACACATTTGGTGGAGAGCGATGTAACTAACGATGGCAGTTGGCAAATTTCGATTTTGGTTACTGATTTGAACATCCAGCGAAATTTATATGTTACCGGGTCGTTGCACATTGGTGGTTTAATGCTTAGACTGGTCGATGAAGTTGGTTCGTCCTTCATCGTATTAATTATAATTAGTATATTATATCCTTCAGCTGAGTTACCTTCCAAAAATATACCGTCAGTGTAAGGAAAATTCATTTTCTAATTTTAACTTAGAGTTTTAATTCCGCCTGTCTCATATTTTCTCTCGCTACTTACCAGAAATAATTTTGATTTCGTACAAGAAAATGGCTTTCATTTTTTAGAAGTACTTTAGAAAACTTCGTTTATTCAAAAAATCCATGAATTTTTTGTTGATATACTGAAATCTCAGTAAGCATTTCTTATTAATCGACCTCTTTAATGATGATGTTTATTGCGTACAGAATAAAATTTTTTTCAAAATGTTACAATGAAATATCAAGTCTTTCATTCATATGTAAAAAGAGAAAAGATTTACAGATGTGAGCAAAGATTGGAGTGATCATGCACTTTGGTGGCCCGAAAAAAGACGTTGGCTCACTCATACACGCAGCACTCTGGATCAAATTGGTATTACCGCAAATTGCAACTTGGAGTTTACTCCTCAGCACAAGCTGGCAATGTTTGTTTTATAGGTTATTTAACTGGAAATGTTATGTATGTAGCAGATAAACCGCGTTAAGAAAACAAGGCGGATTTTACTCATCTTGTTTAATATTTTTATTCTGTAAAAAATGTGTAGTTTTTGGCAGAACTCTACCTGTTGATGATAGTTGGTAAATAACTGTGTGCTGAACTAAAGCTATTTTTGTCTACATCGCTAGATAAATTTCGTGTATTTAGGACTCAAAACCCAATTTTCTTATTTAAAAATATTTCCAGCGTGCAATTACCGGATTTACAAATGATTGATGCACGCTTGGATTTTTCTGTTAATATTGTTCGTGCCACACAACAACTTTGTCGAGAAATCGGTGAGCTATTTCCATCTGTAGTATGTTCCTAAGTGGGTTTTTATAATATTTTATATATTTAACAATAACTCGGAAGGAAGTTACTACGATGAACGAAATTTAAATTTCAGGCATAAGGTACTCTGAGGAATTGTCGCTAGTACGATTTATACCACCGGAGCTTCTCAGGAAAGGTCTCGGATTTGAGCTAGATCAAGCTGGTCCGCAGCAATTGCCACACTTAGAGGTAGGTATATATTGCTAGCTTCAGTAGTAAAAATCGGTTTTACACTGTTTTGAAATCAGCAGTCAATTTAAATTCCTTTGGAATCTTAGTTCAAATATGAAATGCTAAAACTTGATTTTTTTTTTTTTACATATACCCAAGATAAAAATTTGAATTGCACGAATTTTCATTTTTATAAGTGTTTTTCAGGAATCAATTGGTCCTGGGACCCTTCGACGACAGAAACCGATTAGTGCATCAACTTCCAACTTATCCCGACCACTTCGTCGAGGTACCAGTCCAGGGTTGTCAACGAGTGGCCAAATATTTAATGCTAGTGAGCTCGGCTCACTTCCGCGTGCAGGAACAGTTCCACGAGGCGTAAGCCCTGGTCCTGGTGCTGTACGTTTTTCTTTTAATTACCTTATTTTTACATTATTGTTTTTTGTTTTTTGGATGCTTACTTAAGGTTTAATATATATCCAAGATTTAAAGGTAAATAAAACATTTAGTTTTCAAAAGTCTTTCAAATTTGCAGTACGGTGGTTCAATTGGTCGCAACCCCATTATGCCTTCCGTTTCATTCTGTGAAGGGCTCGAAAATGAGCAGTATGACATGGCGCTTGTGCAGTCACCACGAATTATTCCTAGTAAAGAAATGAGTGTCTTTAGGCCACAGAACTATGCAGAAAAAGCAGCGCTCAATCGTGGTTGGCTTGATTCGTCGAGGTAAAGTATTCAGCTAAAATCCTTACTTGTAAAATTGGTCTGCTTTGGAATATTAGGGGTATTAATGAATAAGAATCTTGGAAAGGATAGTGTGTGAAGGTAATATAATATTTCGATTGAGGGTGCCTGTTAATTAATAAATTTCGTTTTAGAGATCTTATTTTGAGGGCTTTTGATCTTATACACACTATTAAAAAAGTTTAAAAAGAAAATAGAAAACATTACACACGAATCTCCATGAATAACAGTTAATAGATAGTACAACTTTTTTCCATACAACGGCATTTTGTAGGTCCCTTATGGAGCAAGGCATATCCGAAGGTGACATGGTTCTTCTACGATTCAAATACATGTCATTTTTTGACATAAATCCCAAGGTATATGTTTGCTATTTTTCGATTATATTTTTCAATTTTCTAAAAAATAGTAATAAAGTTAAAAAAAAAAAAACTCTTAAGATGCAAAATTTTTATATTTGAAGTGCGAAACTTACATATTATGATGTCTTTTTAGTACGACCCGGTACGTATCAATCAGTTGTACGAACAGGCGAAATGGTCGATTCTGCTTGAAGAATTTGATCATACTGAGGAAGAAGCTATGCTTTTTGCTGCATTGCAAGTTTGTTTTTAAACCTTTGTTAAAGTCGTGAGAAAATTCAAGTTTTTAAACAAGGTCTTGCTTCTACAAACAAACATATTTCATTTGCAGTTACAAGCTACCCTACAGCGTGATTTGCCGGAACCAGAAGTTCCAGAGAAAGATGATGTGGATTTATTACTTGATGAACTTGTATGTCATTATTTTGAATCATGAATCTTGTAGTTTTTTAAACTTTTCATTTGTTATGATAAATTAAGTCTTTTAAATGTCTGTTCCACTTTGAGAACTGTATGAATATTGTTCAGGAGCAAAATCTGGACGCTGCAGCTTTCAATCGTAAGGCGGATCTTACGCAAGTGCCTGAACTTGCCGATTATCTCAAATATATGAAGTAACAATTGACAGACTAAATTTCTTGTAAATTTGCATCAGTAGCTAATTATCTTAAAATTTTGAAACATATGAAAAGTATTGAGAAATCAGATAAACAATGAGGGACCAGCTTTATTGAATAATAAATGCATTCAGTTTTATTCTTGTAACTGTTTTTATTCACTGTTGCATCTTGAACTGACTTGCATCTGTTCCGTTGAACTGATTGCTTCTTTTTATGTCAAAATTTTAGCTGACATTTCTACCTTGACAGGAACATATGATTCAGGCCGAAAAAAATAGCATTCAAAGGCTTTAAACGAGCATATTTCTCATTTCGAGATTTACATCTCAGTTGGCATCAGAATTCGAATGACATGAACGGTCCACCAGTGGGGCATTTCTGCCTTAAAGGTCTGCTTTCTTCTTGAGTCTATTTTTTTTGTCAGTTTTGGTTCTTGTGGTATTGCATAACTTGTTACCCAAGATCTTAACAGGACTTTATAGATGGTGCTCGTTATATTGATCAAATATTTTCATAAAGGTAACTGTTCTTGTACAATTAGAATATAATAGAAAACCGTCAAGTTCTTCGTAGAAGTGTTCTGAAGTTCAGATCTCATTTTTTTCTTTTACTACAAAAACTCTATTTTTTAGGATGTGAGGTAACACCAGATGTTTTTTTGGCACAATCAAAATTCCATATCAAACTGCTTATACCGAGTAGTGAAGGCATGAGTGAAATGATTTTAAAGTGTGACACGGTGAGTTCGTATAAGAAATGTTTGAGACAATGAGTTTAACAGAGAAATTAGTTAGTTTTTTTTTTTTATATGGAGAAATGCTCTATTGCATACATAACTCATGCATAACCATATTGGTAGTGACATGAAGGTAAAAACATAGTTAAGGTCGACGAATTTTCCTTTCGAATTGGTTTTTATGAATGTTTGCGAAGATATTGCATGAAAAGTGGTTTAGAAGTTTTTTTTTCTTGTAGGAGCATCAATATGCGCGTTGGATGGCTGCATGCCGTCTTGCTTCGCGTGGAAAAACGATGGCTGATGCGAGTTATCAGTTAGAAGTTGATTCTATTAAAAAACTTCTTCAAATGCAGTTAGGAGGTTTTTGAATTTTCTTTTATTCGTTATTTAATCTAGCAGATCGATTCGAAGTAAAGTTATTATTTGATTCTTAATTTCATAATTTCTTTAGAATGAATGATAAAATTTATGTTTGTTGAATATATACTCATTGAATATTGTTGCTCTGTTTAAAGTAATTTGGAACATTTGCATAACTATGAAGGCTAAAAAATCAATTCAGTTGCAATAAATTTTAATGTGAATTTGTCCTTTTTTTCAGTGGCAGGTGCGCCGAATAGCGTTATGAAAAAACATCTTGCTGTAGAATTGCCTCCTGATTTTAATGTTGACGAATTTGTTTCACAGAGATATGCTCGTAGGGCGCGTTCAAGGCAAGCAGTAAGTTCATTTTCAGAACCTGTATTATGCATAATTCGAGGCAAATACTTTGTTAATTTGTGATATGGAAGAATGAAAAATTAGAATGTTGCTCTGTCCAAATCATATCATTTATTTTCCATTTAAATTTTGGGTGCTGAGATATTTAGGAAATGTTAAACCTTTAACTTTCGAAGCCTTCCCTTGCTTCGTTCGTTTTATAGCACATTTTTTTCATTTATGCAAGCTGTTTCTAGCTGATACTTTCAGCATTTTGCTTATCTTTGTAATCAACTTTTTTTGTTAAATCATTTTGTGATTAGTTATTGTTGCAGCTCCAACAACGAATCACGGAAGCACATTCAAGTGTTCGAAATCTGTCGAGCACGGAAGCGAAATTACAATATATACGAGCATGGGAAGCACTACCAGAACATGGCATCCATTACTTCATCGTTCGATTCAGGTTTTTGGATTTTTGTAAAATTTTTGAAAGATTAAGTTTTCTTTGTTTCGCAAATGCATTAGGATTATCTCTCTATATACATAATTCTTCTTCCCTTTTTAGAAATAGTAGGAAATCGGAATTGATGGGTATTGCTTTCAACAGAATGATGAGAATGAATATAGATACGGGAGAAAGTTTGAAAACATGGAGGTTTTCAACGATGAAAAAGTGGCATGTGAATTGGGAAATTCGACATCTAAAAGTGGCTTTGATTTTTTTTTTTTTATATTTTTTGTATTTTTGTAAGATATATCTTGTAGATACCACATAATTTCGAGTATCTTTTGTACTTATTTAATCATACTCGATTTTAGTTACAATTAAAATGAAATCAAAACTAGTTTGTTGAGAAATTGGATAATTTCGGATAAAAGTATGATATGAATTAAGTGAAATTAAGGTTTTTGATTTGTAAAGTGAACGCAACTAGAACTTGAATATAATAACATTTTCATGAATACTTCTGCAATTAAGATAAAAAGGGTTTTTTGATTTCCAGATACAGTTCGAAGATGAAGATATCGAATTCAAACCTCTGTCTGCGGATTGCAAGGTTATTTTTTGGTAAAAAAATAATTTTTTTTTGGTTTTCTTGGTTTGTAGATGCAGTTTAATAATTCCCAAATATTAAACACTGTCATGAATTCCAAGGATTAAAATTTCTATGACTTCTTCTCAGGTTGCACATGAATTTATTGGTGGTTATATTTTCCTGTCGCTGCGAAACAAGGAACAAAATCAAGCATTGAATGAAGAGCTTTTCCACAAATTAACTGGTGGATGGGCTTAAAACTAATGGTGTTTTTTTTTTTTTTTTTTTTTTTTTTTTGTAAGGATTTTATCCAGTTTAGCATCACTGCCAATAATTAAAAAGAAACATAAAAAAACTTATTTTAATCTGAAATTAAAATCAACAAAAGTTGTTATATAGTTTGGTGATATTTCGCTCTGAAAGATATTGGTGATCGAATCCACTGACATTAGAAGAGGTTCTAGCGATTCAGACAAGATTTTAGAATTCATTCTCTAAAAATCGGATTGACGGTTTTCATTTAGCACAATCTATATATTTGTTTGTTCCTTTTCTTGTGTATTTGATGCTGTCTACACTTTTCTTAATTGCTCTTTTCTGTGTGCCTTCGATTTTTTTCTTTTTAATGTGTAATTATTCAAATAATCCTTATCCATTCATTTTGGTTGGTTTCATATTAAGCGTTTTTCACTTTTTTCGTCAAAACTGCCTCTGCCACTTGAGAGTGATAAGAAAGATTTTAATAAAACGCTGATTACGAATATTAAGTTCTGCCAGATTTCAAGCATGAATCATGCAAAGTCATCCCACTTTCAAATTATGATATCTCTTATTGCATTTAATTCTAATTTATAACTTTCGGTTTTACTTTAATTTTCGAAATATAAATGCATACATTCTGGATTACCTATTTTCTTTCGATCCCTTCTTGCGTATGTTTTTCTACACAAGGGCACAAGTTAATTTGGGTTTCATGATCCTTTTGCTGGTTACTTTCCTCGATTTTCGTTGGACCGAATTACAATACTTTATTTGTGTTATAGACTCTTAATGTTTGCCTTTAAGCAGTTAAACTATATATATATGGTGCCATATTCCTAATATCAAAATGGATCTTGAAAACAAGACGCATACATCTTCAAATTCTGTTACTTATTTACACCGGTTTTTGAAAAACCACATTAGACCATAAAGCATTCCGGGAGAACTTGCTACTTCTTTTTGCTCACAATACTTCTGCGCTTCGGGTATCGTCATGAAAATCTGAAGAAGGACATTTATCAACCAGCGAATGGATTATGAATTATTTGCTGATACCAATAACACAATAAAGAACTAGAACGACAGACCTGCTCGACACATTTTACATCAATATAACCGGACAGCTAGCATTGTTTCTCTTTTGCTAGCTTTGAAAAATTGTAGTTACATTCTTCAGCAGTTGGGATATACGTGGAATTACTATCCGGCTTATTAAAACACCGGGAAATTGGTTTTCTAATCATTCCAAACAGTTTCAAAAGGAAACTTGCTGAAGCATTAACTATTTAAAAAAAACAATTGTGATAATACAAACCTTTTCGATTTTCTCAGAATCTACACCACCTCCTTCACTAACTTTCATCGTTTCGTCAATCTCAGCGTAAAACAATTCTTGTTGGGCACCCGATGAACCCACACCTGTTCTAAAATATCAGAAAACATTTTTATAGATTCAATTGACAAACCAAAGGAGAATTCGGAATACTTACACAAACGTTTTTATGCTCTTAATGTCATTTTCGTTGACCTTATAACCACACTCTTCATTAATTTCTTCTTGAATATGTTTTCTCCAACTAATATTCGGTTTGTCAATAAGACCGGCACAAAGTTCCACCGTTTCACCCATACTTATTGGATATTTTGACCAATTTATTTCATTCCACTTTTTATTAACATTCTCATCCAGTCTACGTACTCTTGATATATAAACAGCTGAAAGAAATAAAAGGATGGTTGAATCATTACCGGAACTCAAAGTCAGACGTTATCGTACATTTATAAATAGTACTGCGCATATTCTTATAACCAATAGATTTAATTCTCGCAGAGTATTAAAATCATAAGAAAGTTCATTTTTTTCAAACTATTCTAACTTTTAAAGCTAATGAGACATAATCCTAAACTTTCGAAATTGAAGAAGCTTTATTGGACTAAAGGTAACTCAAATTACGGTAACTGAAAAAATTTACGACACACTGTCAAGTATAAACTAACAAAATATCCTTGAACTATTTAAATTGTTCGTGTTTAAAGTTTTCCCAAAAACATGCCAAATCAATCAGACGCCTACCTGGTCGGAACTGTTTTACAAACAGTAGAGAGTGCTTCTGTTTATGATATAACAAACAGGCAACACTGTCGTGACGTAAAACAAGATCCCATTTGATAAGCTTGCCACCCTAAAACCATTCCACCTTGAAGAATGCACGCGTGTTCCAAGAGGAAAAGGTTAGAAATTAATTTTGAGAGATAAGAAACTAGCGGAACTAACGAATCGTCATCGTTTAACGGTCTTAGGACAAAACACAACACAAACAAATAAAACAATTGAACATACATACCCTTTTGAATTTCATTCTCATAGGTCGAATAAACTGAGAATCACGGACGTCCTCGAAAATCTCAACCTCCACTGGGAATTCTTCGCTTTCAGCCATTTGGAATACTATCTCTCAGTAGTCTGCATAACACAAGTAATTGAAATATTTGACTTGAAAGACTTTCAAAATAATTCATCTAAACAAGCTCGCCATTTACTAACAACTGGAAATGAAACGACACTGGCAGAAAAGCAAAACTATTTAAAATGAAGAGCTGCTTTACGAAATATCAAATTTATTTAGCCTTTAGCATAAAAAAAAGAATCATAAAAAGCCACTAAATTTATCCCCGAACTTACGCAACAAATGACTAACAAATCGTTAAACTGGACAAACAGTAGAACAAACGATAAATATGATAAGCTGAGAAGCTATGACATAAGGAAAGTAGTTTGGATTTCCAATGAGGATTATTTTATAACAAGTTAAGAATTTACAAAATCAATCATTTTAAATACAGGACCCAACAAAAAAGGTGAGATAATTTCCAAAAAACAATCATTCACCAATATAAATTCTTTAAACTAGGAAAAAAAAATCATATTTTCGGAAGTTTAATGCCTTTCTTTTCGCATAGTTTATCAGTTAGCTGCCACAGATTTTCCTGTTGCTTCTCATCCACTGCATCTTTGAATAATTTGGTGATACGCTTACAGTTACGGTCGTAATAAGCACCATTCACGTTCGTAACACTATCAGAGGTACAGAGAAAGACGCAAGATCGAGAACCTTCGCAAACAGGAACTCCACTATAACCACCAGCTCTGAAATTTGTTGAAATTTCTATTCAAACTTATTTATGGAAATGATATTGGATTTTAACTAACGTTCAAAAATAATTCAAATAAATGTGAATAAAAGCACTGCAAACATGCAAGAAGGGAAAATTTTCCAGAGATTTGAAAGCAATGTCTTGGGTGTTTAAGAGCAACATAATGTTTAAAAAATGCTCACTGTCCGTTACTACTACTTTATTTCAAAAATCTAATATTTTAAGGCAACTTTGTAGTTTGACAGTGTCTCTTCGAACTAACCTTAAAAGTTTCGTCTCGATGATGCCTGGTTCCAAAACGTTACAAGTAACTCCAGATCTGCTGAACAAACGAGCTAACTTGAACGTCATCAAGTGAATCATAAGCTTTGTACGTGAGTACTGCGTGTACTTCTCATAAGTTTTCGAACTTTCTAAATCTGACCAATCTAGAGAATACCTGAAATTGTACTTCATTGCAGGAAAAGTCCTATTGAAAGCGGTTTTCATCTGTATTTTCTAGAAAGCAAAAATGAGTTATTAGAAATTATAAGATCATCACATGTGGTCTATATCACATATATAGAATACCATCATCACTTCATTTTAAAATAAAGATTATCGTGTATGTACTGATCTCCGTGCCACTGTTTCAAAGTTCCAAAATTATGCAAGAAATTTTTGTCCATAAACTTTATTTCTAGCTTCCATTTTATCTAAATACTAAACAACCAAACAAAATAAGAAACAAACCATTCGTAGCAAATGCTGCTTACAAGAACCAGTCGAGATGGAACATTCTTCTTCAGCAAACTGAACAGCGATCTTGATAGGATATAATGCGCAAGATAATTCACCTGTGATGAACCAAAATAATTTTACTTTCTCTTACCACAGCAGGGACTAGATTTAATCATTGTTAAAGAATCACTGATATGGATAACACTGGAAATTAAATTTAAATAATTTTTTTATCGAAGTTGAAACAAAGTAATTTAGATATTATCATTAATTTCCAATATGGTTTGAACTTCTTTGGTAACTATTACCACACATTTCAAATAACATATCAATGTGAAAAATAGTAAGCCAGAACTATCCAAGAACCAACTGACACAAATATCAATATTAAAAAAAAAAAAAAAAAAAAAAAAAAAACTTGCTGTCAGTTTTGAATCATTTCAGAATAAACAAAAGAAGTGGAGAATTTCCCTACAGTGTATTCAAAACACATGCAGAGATAAGATGTTATGATGTTCACCTATGATAAAAAATGATCTCGTAGAAACAGAAAACGGCTTCTTGGAATTTCCAGCGATAAAAAAGTTATGAAATAAACTATTATATATTCCATAGTTATAGGAGCTCAGAAGAATAGTAACGCAAACCAGTTCACTTTTCATACAAAACACTTCAAAACGATCATTTTTTGTTTTTTAGAATTTGATCCCTAGTTAAAAATCGAAATTAAAAAAAGTCACAACCTCGCAGTTGAAAATCGTCACCAATCCTTCGTTAGCAATACATAAACATGAGTGAAAGACAGGAAAATTATGAGATCACGAAGATAAAATGAAAGGCATCTTATAAAAGCACGACAAAAGAATTTTTTTAGAATTGTGAAATCGTTTAAATTAGTTTGTTCAATGAAATCATTTAAGAACTATTACATTTTTAAATGAAAAGATTTCAGCTACAGATAAATGCATAACTAAAAGAAAAATGGAAGACGAACTTCGTTAAATTCTTACGACTAATATAATTTTTGTCGCACTGTTGCAGGTTCAAAAACTAAAAACAAATTTCATTCATAAAAACCCGCAAAAATAATGTGAAAGAAAAAAAAAAGAAACTATTACATGAGGTGAAATTTAAAGCTCTTTAAAAGAAGGATCACATCATCAGTCGATCGTGCTACTTCATACATTATAATCCTGTCTATGATTACTGCAGTTGACATTATTGATCGTACAATTTGCAGCAAAGAGAGGTGAACCAGAATTTAGATAATCTTTACACAATTGTTCACTCATTTCCCATAGTTTTTGCTGCAATCGTTCATCGGTAGCATCCGAACCACTGCGTGTCTGCTTTCCATGGCAATCAAAATATTTACCACTAACATTTTCTAGTGCAGGAGATTCAACCAATGTTAAAAGTGTGCTAACACCACTACTTAATACCAATGCGGTATCAGAAGATGATAGCGATGTACTTCGTGATCTGAAAATTATTGACCATGCTGCTTTTTTGCGCTTAATAATAGTTACTACTACAAATAAACATTAAGCATTGACCCTACATATTTGAGAAATAAACATGAGTAAGTTGCAACTTTTGTGAAAACATACTGTTCAAAATAAACCATCAAATTAATTAGCAGTACTGCTTTAGCAGCTTTTTTTATGATTTATAACTAAATATGAGTATCATTCATACTTCCTTACCATTATAAGTACTTACCCATTAAATATTAAATTTCCAAGTATCTATGAATTCTTAATTTCGAAAGTCACTAATATCTTACCTCCGACCTCGCGGCTCCATATTTCCCAGATCGACAACATTAGAGGTAACCCGAAATTGACACCCTTGCCTGACCAAAAGACGATGAAGGGCAAATGATGTTAAATGATTCATTAGTTTTGTCCTCGAAAACTGAAGATATTTTTCATATTCCCGCTCAGCCATCACATCCTTCCAATCAATTTTATGCCTGAAAGAAAATTTTTATCAAATTTAACTTCATCGTTGCAGCAAGTTGAAGAAAATCACGGTTTTTAATTTTTGATATTTTCCACTTCTCATTGCTCCTCTTTTTTCGCAAGAAACTCCCTGTTTTTTCTTTCTAATTTCTGATTTATTATTAATTTTTTTATTTTTATTATCAACGGTGTTTAAGAGGGCTGTATTTGATAAACCACTGAAGAATATTTGAATCGACAAAAAAGACGGATTTCGCTAACCTATAATGGTAATAGAAACAAAAGATTAAAACTAGAAAAAAAAAAAAAACTCACCAACTATGAAGACTGCTACTGACAATAATAACCCTTGAAGGTTGATTTTGTTTTAATAGTGCAAGTAAACGATTTATGATAAGGAAATGTGCCAAATGATTAATCTGAAAGGCTTCATTTGGAAAGAAAACAAGATTATATGGAGAACGGGCAGAATATGGCAGAGCGAATAAGCAGAACAATTCATAACTGGGAGATGAAAAATTGAAAGAATTAATACACCAAACATATCGCCATTTATATCGCAAGAAATTGTATCTAATCATTCATAACAATAAATGATAAATAGTATACGACATAAAATTATATGTCTATTAGTTCTTCAAACGAATTTAAGAGTGATTTATAAAGTACTAGAAATTCAAAACTGAAACACAATTGACAAAATGATAAATAATGACAAAACTGATTTCGAAATCAAAAAACAAAGATGAAGAATATATGAGACATTCTTATATAGTGCATTTAGGAAATCCAAACATTTCTATCAGTTATTGTTCAAAAACAATTCTCAGTTTGACCACTAAATTTATTATTAGTACGCCTCATCTTTTCAAAAACACTATGTCAGAAGAATAAAGCTTTCTAATCCAAGAAATAAACATTGTTTTATGACAATCAGCTGTAAAATAAAGTATAAAATAAATTTAGTTTCAATTTTTGAAGTTTAAATTCTAATTCACTACATGTTCATTATCCATAAAATCTTAGTTAAAACGAATCAATTTGCATATTAAGTACTAAAAGCACTATACAATATAGTCTAATAAACAAAGAGAGGCATATTGAAAGCCTGCACAAAAACTGTACATTTCCTAAAGAAATGTCGAAACATTTTTTAAGCACATTAGTGAAATTGCTTACTTGAAAAGTTAATTCCAACCCATTTCGACTTTCTGCTCTTTTAGGTAAAAGAACACCGGCATTACACAATAGAACATTCAACAGCGGAAATCGCTTTTGAACATCCGTAGCCAAATCAGAAACCTGTAATAAGTAGTGGGTAAAATCATGGATTACTAATAAAATAGAGTATTTATTTAAAAGAAATGGAAAAAATAAAGCATAGAATCGTCAAAGAAAACAAGAATTGAACTAGTTCAAATGAAAAATAAGGTCACTGAATTCCATAACTCACCTCTTTCAAATCTGAAAAGTCACCAACAACAAAATCAAGATTTGACTTATCCGGTAATTTGCCCTCACGCATAATGTAGTCAATGGTTGCTTCACATTTTTCAATGTTCCTTCCATGCACAATAACGAAATTTTCTTTCTGAAAAGATTATGTCTTTATATCAAAAAAGAAAGATATCTAGTAAGATTTAGAATTAAACTGGGTTGTGAAAGAGTACTGTAAAAGGTCTCACAGCCCTAATAAGGTTGATAATTTGATTAACCTTACGTTATTAAATACATGAGCTAAGCCTTTTACTTCTCGTTTCAAAAAATCGAAGCTCGGATACCATGAATACATAGATGTGTTGCAACAGCTGTTTCAAGAATTCAAAAAAGAAAATTAAAAGGAGGTATCCTGCATGTTTGCACGAGCACTTATACAAGCACTTTTGCTCTTATGAATTTGTGACTTCATGAATATTTCAGAATTAGGGAAATAAAGCTCACATTTCGCACGGCTAATTCCAGAGCAGTTTGTCTACCAATGCCATCTGTTGAACCCGTAATGAGAATTATCCTTTTGAAGCTATTATGACATTCATTTTTCTCAGCCATGCCAAAAAAAAGTTACTTCAAAACTTAGATAAAACATTTTCTGATATACACAGCATCACCGCACGCAGCTCGTGACTCATTCTTAATTAATGAATAATGTTAGTTAAAATATTTGCGAATTATATTGAATAAGAATAAAGATGATGAAGACATGAAAAATACATTCTAGTGTGCTAATTTTTTCTAGTTAATTTTATCAGGGTCACTTCATTTCTCCCCTATTATGGCTTATAATTCATTCTTCGATTATTCTTTCACCAGAGCTTAGCTCCTCAACTTTTTCCTCCTGATCCTGTAATGATTACTAAAACCTTACGATGAACATAAAAAAGGACAAAAAGAAAGTGTTTATGAAGACTGCGCTAAATATATCTGTCAGGTTGTTGTTAATCAAAAGGGGAGAATTTTTTAATTACTGAAAATGAGAAAAAGAATTTTTTCTCAGGTTATTTTAGAGCAAAGAAAGTACGGAAACAGTAAAAATGGGGATCAAAAAAAGAAAATGAAGAAGCAGAAGCAACAAAATTGAGAATTTTTTCTAACAATCTTCCGTACTCAATAAACAACTATTCACTTCATAACCAATCAGAGATAATATGATTATATCATTATATCAGTAATAATTACGATTTAATAGAAATATACACTGATAACTGCTGCAAAATATGACAATGACACTAACATATGGTACCTCACTTACTGTGCTAATACTTTGAAAATTAATTCCAGTCATAATTCAGGACAACAATTACAATTTGAAGTGACTTCCTCGCACTTTTTACATATAGTTCTACTCTTAATCTCCGAGCTATTTTTTCCCCGTCCTAAAATCCTTCCCACTATGCTGTTCTCAGTTTACGTTTTTTACGTTTTTTGGCCTTCTAAATTTCCAAATTTGTCAATAGTCGATGAAGTAAGGCTACATCGGAACCCATAACTAAAGAAAAGCCCCAACCCATATATATACCCAAAATGCCGAGCCGTGCTTTCCCGAAAAAAAAAATGTCTCGCTTTGGAATTTAAAGGCAATGGCTGCGTGCATGAAAAGTTGTCTGGGAATTCTCGAGATGTGTGCAGGGTTCTCTGCATTTGAATTTGTGATTCCGGGTTGTTAAGGAAGGATCTCGAGTGCTAGTGAATATTCTTTTTCAGAATTCCAATAAAACTATATATGTTTTAGTGACTAATCTCCCCTGAATTCGTGCAGTGACGAAATATTATAAAAAAGTGGACGAACTTCATATGAAGTAGAAGTTTTATAGCTTAAAAAAAATGGGACGTTCAACTAAGGAAACAAAAACCAGATTTTTTTTTCCGCAATGAGTTGATGTACTTTTAAAATAAAAGTATCGTGAAATAACTCTAAACTGTTACTTCCAGGGTATACTTCGATTTTAAAATTGATGACTTAAATCAATGTATATAATCTGAATTAATTTCGCTTTGCCAATTTATTTTTCATACAACTCAAATCACTTAACTTATAGATAAATAGATAGGAGAGAAATTAACGCCGACCGTATGTTTGGAAGTCTTTTGGATCATTTGCACTTCTTTCGAGATTCTCTTTTAACATTCATCCTCACCTTTCTTTGATTCAGCAGTTATCTGCTTCTCTTATGAAGGAAGATATATCAAATAATAATGAAAAAGTGTGAAAAAGCAAGAACAATGTGTTTTTAGATGCAGCAAGGGAAAGAGCTATAAAACAGGCAAGCAAACAACTTTGTTTCGAAATTAGAACCATCAAAATTTATTTGCATCGCTTCATCATATGAGGGTAAAAAGTAAAATAGGTTACAGTGCATTCCTCTCATATAAATGATTAATTAGCAGCTTGCATATTGGAAATATGAATTGTCAGTAAATTCATTTCAATTTCAGGCTTATTGTAAACTTACATATCAGCAAAATAATGTTTTGAGAAATCATCAAAACACCGCGGTTTTACATCTTTATACATCTTTACAACACACTTTGGATATAATTATTTGGAGCTTTAAAATTAGGATTCATAAGTACGGAGCGGGAAGAAGAGAAGATATGAGCCTACGAAAGCATGTTATTTTCAGCTATTGGAGCTGTGTAAATATTGATCTAATTATCACTGGTTCAGCAGACTTCCATATTTTAATACCAGCGAGTTTTGGCAGCTTATTATTACAAGCTTTTATTATTACTGCCACACGACAACACTTATTTTTCTCTTTGCAGGATGTTCGCTCAATTTCACTTTTATTCATAAAAACTTAAAGCAAATTTGGAATTTTTTTTCGAGATTTACTCTCGAAATAATTGCAAAGCAGCATATGGCTCTTCCATGTGTTGTGATTGGAAATGGTCAAGATTTCACTGAACTTAGACTGGTTGTAATATAAATGTTAATATAAAATAATAATGATATTCAGTAAAGTTCAGATGAATGAATTTAAGATAAAATAGAACTTCTAGATAAGAAAAGATGACTATTTAGTTTTGGAACAACAGAACTAAAGAGAAATGACAATCCATAAATTTCAGTGATTTTGGGAGAACTTAAGAAAAGAAAGTTTGACCGAATAAGGAGTGCAAAGTCTGACTGATGAGGTCTATTTTCATCAGGTTTAAAAAGTTAAAAAATGAAATTGCAGAAAGAAAATGCGTGATCGAACTTATTCAAAATAATCCCTTTTAAAATTACGGTAATCATAACAAAGCAATGTTTGGAAGTGAAGTATATATGTTTTTTAAATTTCAACTAAATTCATATTTTCATTGTAAATATTGGTCATAAATATCGGTTCTAAATTAAATCAGTTTATTTTAGAAGAAAAAATATTTATCGAAGTGGTATGTTATACACTTATATCTGTATTTATATTTTATATCTATATTTCACATTTATATTTTATATTTACATTTATATTTATATTTATTACTTATATTTATATTTACATTTACGTTTATATTTATATTTATTACTTATATTTACATTTACATTTGTCATTTATATTTAATTTATATGGAGACATACATGCTAGGTGTTTATTTTAATCCAATTCTTATTTCTTACACAATAAGAGAGAGAAGAGAATACGGTTGTGAATTACTGCTCCAAGAAGCACTTCCATCCGCACCGATACAAAAGAAGTCAGTCCCACTGTCTCTTTTTTTTGCAAAAACAAATACAAATAACGTATAAAGAGGATTTGCACAATATGGCCGCGTTTAATTTTGCATTTTGATTTCCCGTGATGCTTGTATATTTCTTGTTAACATGATGGATTAATAGAAATTACGTTTTGTATCAGGTACAGATTAATGTGATCTGTGTAATTTAGGGATGGGGTTTTATTTTAATGAATGAATTTATTTTAATGAAAAATTTAATGGATTATTTCAACAAATGAAGATTTATTTTAATGGATTTTATATTAATCAATATAATGCTGCTTTAGCTGTCAGTGATATAATTGATTGTGTTTCTCTCACATTATTGATCTGAAAGGAATTTCTCATTTTTCAAGGGATTTCAGTTCCTTTGAATGGACACTATGTTAGATGAAAAGGATATACCGATTGACATACACAGCAGCAAACTCCTGGGTATGTTAACAGTTCACTTCGTTCTGCTAAATATTCAAACAAAAAGAAATTACATTCACTCAAACAATCCTCATTGATTGTTGCTTCAGACTGGTTGTTAAGTCGACGACACTGTAATAAGGACTGGCAAAAAAATGTAATGATCATTCGCGAAAAGATCAGCGTAGCAATCCGGGATATGCCGGAAGATGAGAGGATCGTCAAATTACTCCAGGGATCCTGTAAGTATTTAAAAAAGCATTTATTATAAGTATATTAAATCTCAAGTTGTATTTTGAAAATTTTCTACGCTTGGTAACCTTTATAAGAAACCTTTCAGATATTAATTATTTTCACTGTGCTCGAATTGTCAATATTCTAAAAGATACGGAGAAGGGTACGAAGAATTTCCTAGGATATTATTCATCACAGAGAATGAATGATTGGATGGTATGAATGACATTATTTAAGAAGAAAAACTATATATATATATATTTTTCTTTCATTGGACTCTTTATGTGAAACAGTGCATGTGATCGATATAATAGTTGGTGTGTAAGATAAGATTCGAAAAGGGAACGTGTTAGATTTTTAATGTAATGATCGAAATAAGTTTAATGGAGTGAATCTTTCAGCAGATTCAACAAATGTATGAGAAAGGAAATATCCATTTGGCAGAAGCAGCTCAAATCCTTCAAAGGATGATTCAGTATGAGATCCCAGTTCTAAAAAAGCAGATTTCGAAATGTGACCAAACAATTACCGTACTGTTTTAATTTGTTTTGGCACTTAAGTTATGCTTATGCTTGTGGTCAATAAATACAGTCTAAAATTTTTAGGACTGTGTCAAAAAGGAAAAAGATTACGCAAGGCAAATGGCTGACAGTAAGAAACAATATGAGAAGGAACTGTGGAAGTTGGGTATTGAAGGTATGAAATTGGAACTTTTTAGGATAGTTTTTAATGTTGGATTTTTCAAATATTGTTTTTTATATACCATTTTTTTAGTATTGATTTAAAATTTTTTTACGTTTAATTTTCTTATTTAATATTATTATTTCTAATTTTCTATTTCTCAGCGAAATTACGGGTACTCCTAGGTGTCCACTTAAAACGTGAAATAATATCGTTGCTGACTGATTTACCATCTTTTTTGGATGAAATGACAAAGTCTATATCGTCTTTGAATGAACCGCTTCAGTATTATGAACAGTTTCAGGCATACCTACATCAGTAAGTAATTTTATATTGAAAATGATTCTAGTAAAGTTTAAGGAAGATCTGACAGTGAAGAGTTATTCAGATTATAAAGCTTATGAAATTGCATAAATTTTACATAGCATCTGCTACCTTAGCCGGTGCTGTTGATTAACAGTGACATTATGTGTGCTATAAATGGTATATATATATATTTATTGTTTCCTGTTTATTTTCCATTTTTGTATAGGAACAAGACACAAAATGTTTTATTACCACTATGTCGTTTATTGATGGAAAAAGGTGCACAAGTTACAGTTTACGAGTGGAAAAATGGTGTAAAACCAGTAAGCATTGAATCACCTTCTTTGGATGCGTGGTTAAATGAAGAGGTATTAATTTACGTTGTTAGCTTTTAAATTTACATCTTTATAGCTGAGTTTGTCTCCAGTTTTAATTTACTGCAAGAGTTTAACATTTTATTTGTATTTTTCGTTACTCTTAGAAACACATTCAGTCTTCATTAATTATTTTTTATATGAAAATGTTATGTATGTTATCAGATAAATAATGCTGAAGAAATAGATTTTGGCGACGATTTTATTGTTCCTGATGATGAAATTGATTTTGGTGATAGTAAATTTCAAATTGAAGTCGTTGGAAACGAGAAAGGTAAGTTAAATAGAATTGTTTTTCGATCTTTTTCGCTAAAAGTGTGAAAACTTATGTCTGTTGGCTCGATTTAATTTCTGAACTATCCAGTAGTTTTTTTCTTTATAGTTGATGCTAACGATGGAATAGCTCGAGGCTTAGATGCACTGACAGTACTGGAAAATTCGCAAACTCGAAGTCTTATTTACTTTGAATTGAGAGAGGTACTGCCATATTTCACAATTCTTTAATTTCTTTTTTCGACTTTTCTACTAAATTAAATTTCTCTGTAAATGTTAAACGACATAATTTTTTAAATTATTTTTGCGACCTCTTCTTTTTATTTAAATGTTATTTTTTAGTTGGAAAAATTTTTGATAATACGAAGAGAGGACGAAACTATAGAAAATGTGTCCGATATTTACATATTAGGAATTGAAGAAAGGCCTGCAGCATTAAAAAAGGTAGTTTTTTTTTTTTTTTTTTTTTTTTTAATTCTGCAAGCGAAACATCCTTCTTAAATTCCAGGTTTTAGTAATAAGTGGTTTTAAAAGCTTGCAGGTCACTGTGGAAAAAATTGATAAATGGTCGATGCATGTGAGCGAGATTATCAATAAATTAATTGATACTCAAAAGGCTATTTTGTTTCGAATACGTTCCTCACCTCAGTAAATTTCAAATAGTCATAATTTGCTAAGTTTGTTAATGAGATCTTTCCAGTTACTTTATTGTGAAGGAGTTGAGAAAGAAATTTCGCTTTTTTGCGAAATTATTTTATACATAAATAATTTTGAACCATTTGCATAACTTTAATTTTTCTCGGTTTTACTCAAAATTGTTTTCCTTTATATATGGGCTTGTGAATTTTATATTTTTAAATTCCAAAACTTTTTAATTTTTGGAATCTTAAGACGATTTTAAAACTTCAAGAATTGGAAATATAGTCGTGTTGATTTGAGATATGTTGAAAAGCTGGTGGAAACATTGGAGCAGAAGCGCTCTTTAGAAGGACGTTACGAGAAAATGAGAGATCTGATGATAGAAAAACAGAGTGAGATGCGAATTAGTATGCAGAAGGCGCATGAAACATTGAATGGAATTTGTGAAGCTAGCAAACTGTTGCAAAAAGGAGCAAGTTACAATTTCTTTAGTAACTCGTTGGTAGAATTGCTCAACGACCGAAAGCGAAAAATTTTTTAATTGTGTAATATTGGTTTTTTAGTTTTATTTTTATTATTTTCAGATTGAAGAAGAAATCTCAAAAATATATAAGGGAAGGAAGGTAAATATTATGGGTGGTATAAATGTTGCGCTGATGGCTTCTTGAGAAAATTTTTATCACTGTTGCTGTAAGATACATTATTCGGTTATGGGCCTCGCTGTACAATGGAAATTTTATTTGATTTTTTGCATTGTTCTAGTTTTTATTTGGTTGTTTTAATAATTTTCGGCTGTTTTTTGATGGCCAGTGAAGTTCAGTTGAATTTATGGACTATGATTTCATTACTTTTTTTTGTAGTATTTTCGAAGAATTCGCTATAACGACGTTAGTTCAAATTTTACAACTTCAGGAAATTGTTAAGAATGCGTACTCCTTCTTTTGAGTGAATTAACAGTTACCTTCTTGCATTAAAAAGTGATGTTATATTTCTCTTTTCTTTTGCTTCTGGGAAATCTATACCATGTATAAGTCGCTTTTGTAATCTTCCAATAATTTTCTGAGTTACAATCGTTTTTTATTTTTTAACATGTTTATTGTTTAATTTTTGCATAAAATTTGTGTCAAGATTATTACATTCTTATAGTTTTATCAGAATTCATTTTAAGTGTTGATTGAAGATAAAAAGTTACTAGCTTTTTTCTAGGGACCACTTCTTTTTTTGAGTGTCTTGAGCTATTTTTACTCAGCCATTATAGCTTATCATGTTTATCAAATTTATAGTTTCTTGATTTCTGATCTTTTTAAAACATGGATTTAGCCATGCCGCTAGAGCAGAATCATATCTTGCATTTTTTTAAAGAATTGATATTGCTCCACTTTTTTCTTCACGTTTTATTTTTATTAATTGGGTTGCAGCTTTTCTGATAGACTGACCGATCTGATTTTCAAAACTTGTAATTTTCATCAAAGAAATTGTGAATAGCAAGGGGCGGCACGATGTCCACCATTTGTTACAATGTGGCATGACTATGTATAAGGCAGCACAAGATTTCTTATCTCATTAAAATTTAAAAGTTAAATGAAATATATACACGAAGTGTACAGGTTTCGTTTTGAACTGCTTGGAGTAAGTAGCTGGCGATTATGAAGGACAAATGATAAAACATGTTTGCATCAATGCATCTGCCATGTGTATCTGTTAATATTTGTCTCTTCGGTTCATTTATCAGTTTGATTAAAACATTTTGAAACATGCAGCAATCTGATTATTTCTATTAGTAGATATGTTTTAGATGTCATTAGAATTGATATTACTTTTCCTAACCGTCTTTTAAACTTACTCGAATCATGATTTAAATAAAAAGAATTTGGTTGATTTATCAAATATGAAATAAGTAAATTTAAGTATTTGCAATTCAAGATAGATTTTTACTGAAATTCCTCAGTTTCTTGGTATTACTGCTTTTAATATAAAATTGATCTTGATGACCGTTACTTAGTTTATCATAGTAAGTTTTCTTGTCATTTTTATTTGGCTCTCTAAAACTACTCACTTTTTTGATCATATCAAATGCTCCAGCATACATTTGGAATTTTCTGAAAACAGCGAAAGATTGAGAATACTCGTTGTTGCGGACTGGAACCAGCAAATTTATTTAAATTTTATTTCAAATAATTTAAACGCATTACATAGAACTCAAACTGATTTTATGTTCTCAACATTCTCAAATATTCTCTCAATTCAACGCATTCATGCTATTAATGATTTTTGTGCATGATAATAATCAGTTTATTATAGTATTCCGGAAACATGAAAGATATCCGGAAAATTGATATATTTTAGGTGATATCGCAATGATGTGATTTCACATAAAAAAGTAGTGTACTGTAACTACTCTATATGAAACTTCGGTTTATGAATAAGAAAAGAAATGAATCACGCGAAATATTCCTAACAGATCGGAAAGAGATCTGGCAGAATCATTGGTGTGAATGACCGTTCTGAATATAATATCATATTTTGCATTATATGACAAATTTCAAAAATATAAAATTACCAATAAATTAAATTAGTCGACATTGCTATTTGCCAACACTTACTGTTACGGTTATTGCAGAAAATGAAACTGATTGATTGGAATAGGTCAGGAAATCGATTTCATATTGAAGGTGATGCTTCCTCCTTACTGTTTGGCATATTTTTGTGCTTATTACCATCTGAATGAATTGATAAAAAAACTTCACAGTAACTTTAATAATTATGCTAAAAATAAAATATATATTCTGACACCTCTCAGTTGGTATTTCTCAGTCGTGAGATTATTTTAATAATGAAAATTCGTATTTGTAATTGTACCTAAATTTTTCAGATATAAGAGTATTGAATGGAATTTCTGTCGAATTATACATTTCACTTCTTACTATTATATATTCTGTATTACAAGGAATGTTGTTCCAAAAACCAGTTAATGGTTTGTCTTGTATCAAAAGTATTGGTAATTAGTAATAACAATTATTATAATAATGGCGATTATTAATAATAGTGGCTAGCGATTGCAAGAAATGTTGACAGGAATTAAACTCAAAAGCAAGCAGTTTTTAGAAGGCTATCAGTCAATCAGCGTATTTATAATAAGAACACAATATATTATAACAGATATTAAGTTATGACTCAGAAATTTAATATAGTTTGTAATAATTACAGCCGTACTATTTGCTATCATTGGATTTACTCAATTACGACTTTTCTGGTTCTTATATACGGGATGGCGCTACAAATCATCTTATCTCCTATGCATGCATTTCGTGTTATCATTCTTTTGCATTATTGTTATATTCGCATTATGTGTTATCATTGGATTTATGGACATATACTCAATTGGACCATTTCATCACATATATTTAAGGTAATCATTTTTATTTTAAATTTCAGAAAGTGAATTTCAGAAAAAAATTTTAGTATCTAAAACATTTTGATATGATTTATTAATATTTTAAAATGAATCTAAAGAAAAAAAGCTAGCTGAAATTCGAGATAACAGAATTTCTGAATGAACTCAAAAAGACAAACTAATTTAGTGGTCAAAATTGGTTCAAAGTGTGTTAAAACACATTGTTACTTTTTCTTTACAGTGCAAACGCTCATTGGTTTAGAATCCTAAAGATTATTATTCTAAAGATCTAAGAAGCAATGAATTCTAACATTTTTTTAAAAGTTTAAACTCTAATTTTAAAAGAAGTAAACTTCCAGAAGCTATTTCCAATCTCACATTTTGGTAGGAATATGTTCGTTAGTGCCATTTATCATTGGTTTCAGTGCAAGTTGGAGATTTTATTGGGTAATAAGAATGATTGCATAAATCGAAATTAGAATTTCTGCTCACAAGATAAGTTGTAAATTATTAAAGGTTTCTGAGGGAAAATTATCGGAGAAAACATTGTCATTTGAATCGAAATAATAATTCGAAATGTGTTCATTTCATTATACATTTCGAATATTGATTACCATTTTACCACAACGTTGTTATTTTTAATAAAATGGAAGTGGGGATTGTATTTATAGTTGACCATAGCTATTCCGGGTTTTTAATTCTAGATTACAAGCTATCTACTCTTTCAATCAGTTCTACCATACACACAAACAACTTTTCGACTAAGGATCTTCAATTACACTCTAAACAAGAACTATACATTCAAAAAAAAAAAATGATAAAAGGATCATTTTAATGGCATGAAACACGTTAAATTGTTATTGAAACTTATTTTTAGTACCATTTCTCTAATGTACATGATGAGACATAAGAATATATTAGTTCTTTTTTAACAGTTACTTAAAAACTTTTAATCGCTGTCAAAATGCTTTAGAATTACTCGCAAGCAATAGTTCTGATAATTTTGAAAGAAAAAAAACTCATCTTTTGATCTGGTATTTTCTCGAAGATATTATGTAATACTATCTATTTAGAATTCTATATCATAAATCACCAAAACCAATGAAATTTCTACTTGAGGAATATATCATTTATTGCATTGCTTCAAAGTCAGATAAATATAAGCAAAGATAATGATTTCATATCAAGAGTCGCATTTGAAAGATGAATATTAAATGAAAATTGAAAGTAGTATGATTTTGAAAGCTTGAAAAATCCCAGAAATGACAAAAATTTGTTGTCAGTCAGCGAGACAGAGTTTTGTTATTTAAATTTATAAAGTTTGCAAGCTTTCAAAAATTTTTGTAATTGCAAAATTTTGAAAAATTTTATTTATCCACAATGCACGCCACCACAGAAACGGCCCGATCGGTCTACCATTGCATCCATTAAATTGTTAATAAAGTCGAATCCTATTTTCAACTGTATGTGCGCTGTTCCCGTAGTGTCCGCAATAACCTAAAATAAAATATGAATAATTAACAAAGTACATATCTTGACATTTGATTGAATTTTATTTATTGATTTCAGTTTAAGCAGTCATTCTCTTTCCGTAATAATCTCAGTTTCTGCTTTTAAAGGTAAAAAAATTTCTGAACCAAGGTCTTGACCTTTCGGCAGCCGACATTGATAAGCGAATCGAGACCCAGATTTTGCCCCGCTGGTTTTTTCTTCAAGCATTTTTCCAGCGCTTTGTCGATAACCTCAATCCAATCATTCACTGGTGTCCTCCTAAAGCTTAATTTAAGTACAAAAAAATTTAATTGTTAATGTTTAATTAGCATTCAACTTAATATTTTATTTATTTCACTCAATTAAATCATTTAATGTTTAATTTAAAATTTAGTTATTGATGTACTACTACATCACATTCAGTATGTATTGCAAATGTCTTGTCATCAATTAAAACCAAAATCATTAAAAAAATAAAAACAAATTTAGTAAAACATTGTTTCTGGTAGAAATTTTACAAAAAATTTGGAGGACAAAATAAGCCAGTAGTTAAAAAATAAGAACTCTAAAAAAATTTAAATATTTCAAACAGCCAATGCTAACACTAATGCTTTGATGCTTGATACACATTGATCCACCTTGCTACCACCTCCGATCGATGCTGCACCACGATCGTTGCTATCAATGACCTGAAATCATTGCAAAGACTATTACTTATTAATAAGGTTGTTAGGCAGCGAAGGTCATAGTTCAACCTAAAGTTATTGCTGATTTATACAATATGTTAACTGATTACAAAAAATTGAATATGTATGTCCTTTGAACATGGTTTTTTAACAATTTATAATTTAGAACACATAACTCATCATATACTCTGTACCACTAATATAATTATAACTGAGCTATGTGCCTTGATAAATGTATTGTTCTTAAATTACATATTATTATAATTATTATATCTCAACTGTATAAGTATTTTATTCCATATTGGACTAAAGTTTAAATCTAAAACAACATGTCAAAGAGAAAACACAGTAATCTTTTTCGATGACGCTTACTTTTCAATAATAATTACAAAATGTTCATCCACCAGTTCAAGTTTTCACATTTCATTACACAGTGTCAACTATTTATCCACTCTAATTTGTAATATCACGAATCTGTGGACATGTAGACGGTAGATAACCTACCTATTTTCTCCATATAAATCTACTGTAAAGTAACCCACTAATTATCTGAATCTTTTTTAGAGAGTGGAACGTATACAGACGTGAAGACAACTCTTTATTTACAATTTTCTTTAATAGCTGTTCATAAGTTAAGTGAAAATTTCCTCATCTTTATCCAAACATAGGAGATTAAATTTTTCTGTTCTAAAAATATTCTAAAAAAAATACATGTCTCTGCTCCTGCATTTCCGAATCTCAACAAAGTTTGGAAGGTTTGCTTACGAAAGTTGAAAACACTATTTGAGATTATTGAAAGGATAGTAGTTATCCTCAATTGAAAATTTCAATTTCTCAAATTTTTTTACTACGAAGTATGTGTCTAGTCTGCCATTCCGCAAAATCCTGCACTTCTTATGGCAAACGGACTGATACTGACAGTTTCGAAAATATTTCAAGGTCCAGTTTAGCTATTCTCTCATAAATTAGCAGCTGAAATACTAAAAGAAAAGGAATATTCAGCATTTAATTTTAAAAGAACATGCAAGCGGTGAGGAATGTTAGATACTGTAATTAATTCCTTCTATAATGTAGCATACATTGAAAAGTGATGTGAGATTCCAAGAAATTTGATAAATTTCTCTCATCGCTGATGAGCAGGGTTGAGTGAGTATCGAAATAAAGACATTGAGGTAAGAGCCATTAGCAACTTTTGAATTGAAACTGTCTATAGCAAGTTGTCATCAGAATAGAAAACTGTTGCAAGGAGAAGAAAAGTTTTGCTTAGCTTTATAAAAGCTTTCATAAAGATTAGAAAGCTGAAAAGACTAAGTTAATGTTGCCTTGATTTAATGTTGAGGAAAAGCTGAAAATAAATTATGGGTATATCGAATTTCTGCTAACCCAATGTTGTGTGCTAAGTGAAATACTTACAATGAAGTCATTAAGTTTTGTTCTACTGAAATAATCACTTTGAATTACAATTAATATTAACATTTCTGATAGCCTGTGCAATAGAAGCAAGACGCTTTTTGAGTTCTGATCGAGTATTCTCAATACATTCACAAGTTGCTTTCATTAGTTGCATAGTTTGTGCTTGACAAGCTTCTGAGACTTGACTTCTGCAGTCCTTTAGAACTGAAAAGCAATTCGATTGCAATAAACTTAGATTTTCATGGAGGTTCAGTTAAACTTCTGAGATATTTGACTGAGTTACAAAAATTTTTATTGACCGATTCTACAGATCTCATACAAACAAAATCCCTTTTTTGTGAATAGAATTAATTAATAATCCAATTATTTTTACCTACGTTTATCATCTCATTTCTATTGCAATCTATCAAAATTAATTTTTCGCAAAAATGAGTCAGAATTTTGGAAGAAAATTTTGCGAATAATATTTGAAAATCTGACTGTTGCAATGTTTTGCAAGATATCCATCAAACGGATTCTTCAAGCATCGTCTTGTAGTTTCTGCACGTTCCGGTTTACGTTCATTACAGAATGCTAGACGGCTATAGATTAGAATATGATCTGAGATCGAGTTAATTCTGAAATGATTCACAAATACTGCCTCATTAGCAAATTTAATAATCCAGACTATAGACAGTTTTCCATTTTAATGTAGTGTATACTTACATTTCATCCTTAAATGCATATGAACCTTCTTCTAAATCTGGAAACTCAGGAATGCCACCAAAATTGTTAATCTTCCCCCGTAAACAGTACTCTACTTCCATCGTTACAGCTCTAGAAACCTCAGAACGTATACATTTCTGCTCTTCGGCAGAGGTCGATAACATTGCTTTAATTGCTCCATTAGCGAACTATAATTAATTCAGGTCATTCATACTATTCTTGAAATTCGATTATCTAAAAGCTCCCATTCATAATTGCCCAGTTGAGCATTATTTAAGAAAAAAATTAGAAAACAAAAAAAAAAATGTGTTGATAGAAACTAAAAAACTGTATCATTCCACGAAAAATAAAAGCTTTAGCTAAAATATTTATTTATATATGAGCTTAAATTTATGCACAAACATATTCTAGGCTATCATAACACAGCAGAGAATTGAAATAAATTTGGAGAAAAATTAAACAAACCGTTCGACAAATGGAGCAATCACGCAACGGACCGTTACGATCCCAAGCCTTGTTGTCCAAGTCAGATAGCGCTAAAACGCAGCGATTGTCGCGATTCCCTTCAGCAATAGTTTGAGCAAAACATGATTTGATTGCAAGACTGTTAAATTAAATCATTAATGACTTTCAAAAGGATGAGAAGTTTTTCTTTTAAAATAATATCCATTTTGTTAAACAAATGCGAACAAGACAATTTTCAATTTAAGGCTTAAAGTTAGTGAACAATTTTAGAACAAGATAGAAAACAAAACAAAAGCAGATAATCTAGAGTAAAACAAGGTTGGATAACTTAAGATGTAGCTTTTCATAGGAATCATTTATTATTGAAAAATATGAGATCAATAATAGCTCAGTTATTGATTTGATTTAAGCAAATAAATGAGTATCTAATTAACTTCCCGTTTTGTCAGAATTTTCAAGCACTTTTGTCATTGAATTTAAAAAATTTTGAAATCTAATAATTGATAACTAACCGATTATGTTCTCTGATTTCTTTTTCCAACGTACCATAACTACTGGAAACAGTATCTTTGATGCATTGCATATAACTGCTGAGGGAGGACGGTAAAGAACAACTCTGGCACCAACCAAATGCCTATAAATTATGATTCATTTCAACAAAATCTTTTTAGAAGAAATTTATAGCTCTAGTGGATCATTCCCTTTTTCCATGTTCTTCATCATATTTCAACAAACAACTCAATTAATCTGTCAATCAAGTGATAGATACTTTTCAGTTGATTTGGTTGAAGATGGCATTTAAAAATTTCCCAGAACTTATCAAAGAGGAATAACTTTGATGGAACACGCTTAGTGCCTAATTTCAAATTATTAAAAATTTATGTCGCTTCTGTATTATGCATTTGTTTATATGTGTTACAATTCACTGAATAATTTATTTCAATATTTCACTAAAATTTGGAAAGCTAAATTTAAATTCCAAATCAACACAAAAAATCAATAATAAAAAAGTTTTGACATCAAGAAGCTCGAATAACAAATGGTTATGATGATAAGGTTTGTTTTCTTAAGTCCTTTATATTGTGATCAAAAATTGTTGAAATTGTACTATGAAGTGATATGGTACTTCAAGTCCTATGAACTGAGTTAGGTAACAATCAGGTATAACATTAATAGTTTTACAACCAAATAGGTAGCCAATTTTTTTCTTATAAAAACACATTAATAAGTGTTTAGTGCTTTTTTTAGCACAAAGATTTAAAGAACAAAATTTAAATCATTGAATTCTTTTTTAGTGTCTCAGGAATTTTCCTTTGTTGACAATAATGACCAATGACCATCATAAAGTTCCGTGAATGTTTGATAAAATGATGGATCACTGATCATTAGTGTTATTGAGAAAGAGGTGTAATTATATGATATAGATTAACCTGAAGGTCGACCCTATAAAGTAGCAGATTGATTTCTACACTAAGATAATAACTCGAGACTGCTTCTCATTCTTTCTCTCTCTCTCTCTCTCTCTCTCTTTCCCTTCCGCCCTTTTTCCATAAATGATATTTTGAACTTTAACTGTAATAAAAGCTTAATAGCTGTTCTCACTCCCAATAATATTGATGATGAACTCTGAGAGTGCTAAGAGTAAATTAGGAGCTCTTTCTCTGCTTTACAAAGGAAGGGGAAATTGGAAAGCTGGAAATTTTGAATGAAATTGACTTACCGTACAAACGGCTACAATAATATATAATTCCAGCCAATGCTTCATTTTATTTCTGAAAGTTTTACAGTTTTCAAAAATATAATTTGAAATGAATGCGAAATAGGACAATAACGCGAGATATCAATGACAATCGATCTGTTTAGAGTTTGGAAATAAGAATAGGAAAAGATAAAAATTGTAATTATTTTATTTTCACTTTCAGATAAAGTTCCAATCTATCCTACTTTTAAAATAATTGTTCACGGAATAGAGCATGCCCTGGTCTTCTTAAAGGAAGTATGTAGTACACGACATCAATCATCTAGAAAGTCATTACAAAAGTGTTGATGACGTCAATTATTGACCTTTGTTTAACCATCAAAATCGTTATTTTAAAATAACCGCATATTTAAGAACAACAATTTGGTCTAATAATGACAGTAATAATAATTACAATAAATAATAATAATTGCAATAAATAATAATGATAATGGCAATAGTTATAATAATAGCTATAATAATAATAAATAACAATAGTAATAGTAATAACAATAATAGCAACCTTATTTTGAAGTGGTAAATTACCAAGGAAACCGTTGAACAGAACTTTAAAATTCGAATATCATCTTTGCAATATCACGTCATTGATTCAAAACTGCTAAGTGAATAAAGCAGTCTTTTGTCACTTGGCCAAATATTTGAAAGAAGAAAAAAATGGGCAAAACTTAAGATCAAGTAAACGAAATCCGAAACTGTTACAAACACACCTACTAAACTGCTAAGTGAATACGCAGTCCGGAAGTTTGTCATTACAACCATCGGTATTTCATTTGATCGATAAAACTAGTTTTATAGTTTTGGATAAAGAGCGAATAGGAGAATTTTCATGCCCATTCTTTATTTACACTCTGAAATTCATTTTTCAATGGATGTTACTTCTTGTATATTTCACCTTCCTCAATAAATATAATTTAACAACCGCAAAATAAGTTGTAAAAGCATGAATAATCGCAGTGATAATCGTCATCCCTGATGACTGTTCAATTGAGAAGGTGTTTCACTCTTAAATTAATCAAGCTAATAAAAACTTTTGCTAGCTTCTGTAATATTTATTAGCGTTCGAAAACAATCGATGTTCCCATCTTCAATCTTTGGGAAAATTCTTAGGCGAATAGAAGAATATCGGAAGTCACTTTGAATAGTTTCGGGCATCTTTCCATTCAGTGGTCGTTATATGGGCATTCAAAATTATATTTTCAAGCAAACTGGGAACGCGATACTGTAGTTAAATTCAAAAATGTGATTTAAAATGGGTAAATGTAGAGAAAAAAGTTGCGTGGTCATGGTGTTCAGCTGTCAACCGTTCGAAATAACTGGGTAACCTGATAGGATGGAGAGGTTAAAAGGGTTGAGATGAATTGCTGTCGACTGCGTGCTCCGAAATCAAAATCGAGATCGATCATTCCTTTCATACTATTTCTACTCTCCTATGAATTTGTATGATCCACATCGCACCATGAATCAAAAAATTTCAATCTTGCGTATATTTATTTTGCAAAAAGGAAACGAGAAAAAAATTGTTTAGAAAAAGATACATATGGCATTATCATTCATCTAAGAAATTAAGGATTAACGAATTACCAAAGACTTAGTAATAGTTGGAAATTTTCTTAAGAATAGAAAAGAAGATATGACTTTTTATATTAAACAGAGAGTGATAATCGATTGGCAAAAATTTAGTTAATCGTAGAAAAAATGCTGATTACTTCAAACTTTTCATTTAAATGAAAACTATTTATGACAGCTTACTGAGATTTTAAATTAGCTGATCTTAAATTTAAAAAAAAGATCACAGTGTTCTACGCTGTGCATTTCTCTCCCTCAACATTCTTCAGAAGGTAAACTTATCAATTTTGATAAATCAATAACGAAAGTACTGTTAAGCTGAAATTAGATGAAACAGAGAAACTTTTTGCTTAATATTTTTGATAAAACATTTAGGTATTTTGTGATGAAAATATTTAAGAAAAGGAATGAGTGGAAGAAAACATTTAAGGAAAAAGAAATGAGTTGTATGTTTTAAAGAAGTAAAAAGAATTCCTTATCAAAATGCTTTAAGATCCTTCTTTACTCTGTTGAATTTCCTGCACATTTATGTGAAATCTTCCACTTTCTTGCAATGAAACTTTCAGTTGAAGTGCGGAAGAAATTCATAATGCCGCAATGTTACAAACAGATTATCTTGATTCAGTTTTCAACTAATTATATACTATAAGTTCATGTGTTATATTATTCTGTTCTACAAACATGAGTTGCTTAAACTTTTGCTTCATTTCGAGTTATAAGTAAGCAATGAATTTTGCAATTTTACATAGATAAATTAAAGATGGATTAATCTGGTTTTATTATAAATTTGCATTGTTAAGCATAGTTATTGTGATGACAGATGAACGATATGAATAATTTCATTTATCAGTCCGGTTTGTAGAAAAAAATGAGATGAAATTTTGCTTTAATATATATTTTTTGCACTTGTGTGATCCTCAAATGACAAAATAATTTCATTAATTTTTTCATTGAAGAAAACAAACTGTGAGGGAAAAAAGATTTGATCAGAAACTACATTTATTGAATTAACTATTGATATAAAAAGTAGAAAGAAATAATGTCGAGAATTTCAAAAAAGCCTTCGTTTCAGTAATACTACTCAATTTTGTTCTTTCATTCTTAAAAAGGTAACAAGCGCATTTTTAAAGTAGTATTAAATCTTTAAGTATAGCTTTAGGAAATCATACAAAAAAAATTCCTTATATTTTCCCCAAAATATAAAACAATTCTTCATAGTCATTTTCTTTTCTTCCCTCAACTTTAATATATTAATCAAATTTCAAAGTGAATGGAAAAATAGAGTCAAATTTTCAGATGGATTTTGATATACAAAAATAGAAAAAACTACATCTTCACGCCATCCCCAATTTGATTAGTTAATCCTCGAATTTGTTCACTATTTAAAATGCACCATATTTACTCATGAAAAAAATGCAACCTTGAAAATCTCGGAAAATTTTTGAGATAATTTATGTATAACTTATGAAATTACTTCAAACTAACTTCTGTTAAATTATAATCCACGTTAATATTAATCAAATTAAATCAAAAACAATTTGAACAATTTGAGTTGCAATGATCTTCGAATTACACTTATATCCAAAACATTATTCCAAGAAATTTTTACACTTGATGACAAACCAAACGAAATCTCTGAAATTATTGTCGTGAAGAATTATAGAAAACCCCAGTATGAGATAGAGCCTTTTAATGAGCGCATATTTGAATATGAATTCATAGTAGCAAAACTGATGCCAAAGGTATAAAGCTTAAAAAGTTCGGTATATGCTTCTTGGCCAGTACTACATCAAAAACTACGTGAATATCACACTGAGAGCTCTGAAGAAATGAAACTCTCAAAATTTCCACAATACAGAAAACCCCTTCGGAAATTGGATATTTCTATAACACCAAGAATCTACACTCAGTTCAGCTCACTGCACCACCGCGGGAAATCATACGCATCATTCGATACTTCCTAAGTGTTACATATGTAGTTTATAAGTGAAGTAATTAAAAGAAATGGTACCGCATTTGATAAAGTATCGGTCCTTCAGGTCATATTTAACTGCAACCAGCGTTAGCATTTTCGTGTAAAAATTTCTAGAAGTTCGCAATTTTTCTTTTCTATACGAATACATGAAGTTACAAAAATATTCAAAATGGTTTCACGGAGACCAATACAAACATGCGAATGTATAAACTGTTTGGCAAAATAATATTAAAAATTATGCATTTCGACATAGCTTTGTAAATAAACATAAAACTTGAATTTAATTGACTCCTATACACATCGGTTAAAAGGACACAACTAGCGCACAGAGTGCGTCTGATTGTGAGTGCCATAACACAAACTGAAATGTCACATCCTTTTATTCGTACTATCCCTTTTTACTTAATGAACGCACTTCTATCAAAATACAGCACATAAAAAGTTCGTAGGAACATAAGCAACAAAATAAAGAAATTCAAAAAGTGACCAATCCTACAGAATTTGAAGGAGTTTGTCCATACTTATTACCAACTACTAAAAAATAAAGGGAATAATTAACGATTCCTTTTTGTAATTTCTTTTTGTTTTTGCTCGCTTATGTCTTGATAGCCACCTATTTCCAGGTGAATGCTTGCATGTCCTGAAGTTATAATTCGAATGTTTTTGGAGAAACCTTGTAATTCAGCAAGTGGCATAATGCATCGAATAACATATGTATCACCGATACATTCTATTCCACAATTTGACACAATGCCTCTTCGCCTATAGACTTCTTGAAGTGTCATATCTGCATGCTTTTTACTTGTTGTAACTATCTAAAATAATTGCGCAAACTAAACCTTCAAAGTTTCAATTACATTTATACCTGTATTCAAAAACATGTTTTGATTCAATTACTCTAAGATTCTAGGAAGTTTTAAAGAACGGAAAAAAGGAAAGACTTAGAGAATACCTCAGCATTCATTATAGGTTCCAATAAGTGCGTGCCTGCCTTCTGTAAAGCCTCAGTTACACACTTACTGGCAGTAGCAGATATTAATGCAGGACTCAAACGTTTACCGCTCGCCACGAAATCTGTTAGTATCACGGCAATATCATAAACTGTGAAACCTGCTAATGGTCCCGTGCACAGGGCATTACAACAACCTTCATTAATAGCATTCAACCAATTTTCATGTATACCAACACCCGCATATTCATTATTATCATCCAAAAGTACTACAACCTAAAACATACTATTATACATTGATATGCAGCAAAAATGAAGAGATATAAATAATGCATCTTTATGAATATTTTATAGGTGATTTTATAGGAGACAGTTCATCTTTGATTTTTATAGATATTTCATTGATAGGTTAACTAGTACAATGGTTTTAGTAGGTGGCTGGAATTTGAAGTCCTGAACAAAGTACCACAACAGGTTGACGCTTGACCGCTTTTTAGCTAGTAACTACCCTACCTGTGGAAAAACAATGAAAAACAATAAATTTCTGGCAATTCTAGTATTTTGCACTTGAGCATCTTGATATCAACTATAAGTACCTTACAGTCAATAAAATTTCACGATTTAATTCTTTCAGCAACGATTACAGAACAAAATTATAGAACAAACGTCCCAAACTTATCCAAGTCATTACATTTTAACAGATTTAATTATACTAGGCAATTCCATGATGCAGTCATCTGCTGTACAGTCTTGATTCCTCTGGGAATTCGGGATAATGATGCTGGCAATTATCACAGAAAAAAGGCTAACTGCACAAAAAAGAAAGCAACACGTTTAATTTTAAATGGAATGAAAAGATTACAAGTATTTTTAACAACTTGCAAAATAAGATGTTTCATTTTACATTACCATTTATCTTGCAAAATTATACCTGCTTGAATTTACCGCTGCCTTTATTTGGTTTAACAGTGAAGGTAATTCTACATTCGTGCTTCAATTCATTACCAAATGTAGCATTTAAAACTGTGGTATTTCTAACTTCATTTTCAATTACTTCGCGATATGCGACCTGAGGCAAAATTTCATAAGGCATACAAATAAAAGTAAAAAGTTTAAGAAGTTATTCTTCGGTTTCGAATTTTCAAATCAGTTTGTAATCTATTTTTCATCGTTTAATAGTTGAACAAAAGAATCAAAACCTGCAGCGATCCTATGAAAACATTCAAGCCATAATCACGTCGAAGTCTATCTTTAACAACTTCAATATGTAGCTCTCCCATTGTACCAATAATCGTTTGACCTAATTCGTTATCATATCGCACTTGTAAGGACGGATCTTCTACTGCCAGTTCTTGTAAAGCCTATAAAGTATGTATTCAGAAATATTAGCAAAATACGACTATATAGAAATATTTGTCGAACAATATTTTTGATGCAAAATTTTGCAACATCATGCTGCAAATTTAAACTGCTTACACATACAAAAAAAACCACTGATTTGAAAATTTTGAAGACTTATTATTCCTTTTCATTAGAAACTTTCAAATAACAAAAGAAGTCAAAACTGAATTTCCCAAAATTTTATGAAATCTTATTCAACATAAGTAAAGCAATTACAAATAGAGATGAAAAATCATTTAAACTTCTTGCCTTTTCAAATTTCACATTAGCTGCTTCAGATGGTGCTTCGACGGTGCAAAAAAAAACTGGATCAGGTGGTTCAATGCCCGCTAACAAAATAGATTTTATGGAACCAACTGGATGTTCAGAATGACCTGCAAACTTGAAAAATGAGAGTTTCCTTTTGCTCTTCAAGAACCAAGCAAAATTTGGCTAAATTTATATCATACTCATTTTGATTAAAATTTATACCATGTCTATAAATTATTTCAAAATCTTTAAAATTTCATGGAAACAAGAACGGTCTGCATAAAATTTGCCGAAGTTCCTTTAAGAATGACATAAACTTTTTGCAGTTTGGAAGAACAAATTATGAGCTCCAGAAAGATCTTCATCGATTAACTTCAGACGCCTTTCACTTGCCATTTCAGCAGCTCTTCTGTTTGCAACAAGTGTATCACCTGTAGCTATACACTTCATACCTGTTAGAACAGCAATATTTCCTGCCTGTAGTAACAGATTCTTTCATAAAAGTTACAATAAAAATACTGAATTCGCTGATGAAAAGCCAGAAAATTTTTCTGATTAAGAGCACGAAGTAAGGAAAGAGTAGGCAAATTCAAAAACAAAACACGAACTTGAATAACTTGATCAAAAGATATTCCAGAATCAGTAAATAAATAAAAAAATATATAAGTTCGAAACCATCTGATAACAAACCTTGACAGAAGAAGTCAACTGTAGTTGATCACTATACGGGATATGAACATTAAATTTATTTTCCACACTATCCTTGTTAGCATTATATAATGAATCCATATTTTTGATTTCACCAGTGTAAATACGTGTGTAGGCTAGCTGTCCGAGCCTTTTGTCATGCCCAATCTGTAACATATAACAAGAGCAGATGAAAGAAATGCAGTAGCTTGCTAATAAGTTTTTTTACGTAAAACATAAAACAATAGTTTCTTATTTTTGTTTTCCAGATGCTCGAAATTTTTTATTAGATTAATCATTAAATGCATTTGGGAGGATAACCGGCTCGGTACGTTTTATCCATAAGTTGATCAAAACTGTGTATATAGAATGATGACAGATGAAAGCTTGAGCAATTTCACATTTCTATCATCAAAGTAAGTTAAAAAAAAAAATGGTTTCTGTGAGTGAACAATAGGGAACGAAAACTCCATCGATTAAATTCGACTGTTCTGAATAAGATATAATCCAGCAAAAGGATGAATATCAATTATTTTTGAGAAAATTTTTGTTATATATATAGCCATTACAGGTTAGCACAAATTAAATCACTACAAACTAACCTTATATACCAGGGCACTTAAGTCACTGCCAAAGACTTTATTAACAAGACCATTCTTCTCTGTTGGACATGGCAAACAGCTAATGACCAAATCAAGGATTGGACTTACAGTTTCTGCACATCTGCAAAATATGACAACATTTTTATTCTAGTTCGGACATAAGATCAAGACGAACGCAACCTACCTTAACGCTGATCCGCAAGCCACCGGGATAATTCGGTGAGTAAGTGTAAGTCGTCTCATAGCATAAAGTGCCTCTTCATTCAAAACATCATCTTCACTGCTGGTTTGTAAAAATATATCAGCAAAATGATCATCTAAATCCGCCAACTTTGAAAATATTTCTTCGCGAGCAGTCACCATTTGTTCAAATGCAAACATGAAACAGTTATAATCAACTATGTTACAGTAGCTTTTTTTAGGGATAAAATTTCCATATTATCAGTCCTGAATATATACAAGAGAGACAGAGAGAGATAACTTACTGGGAATAACCCTCTTTTAAATCAGTCCATTGTGCTTCGCCATCTAAGTCAAGATTCAAGTAACGCTTGTTAATTACATCAACTACTGCCGCAAAATGCTTTTCTTCATGCGTAATGGGTATACAGACCTTTAAAAAAATCAGCGGCATTGGAGAAACGTTAAAACTTAAAAGACGAATTAAAGGGAAAAAAAGTATCTTCTAGAAGTATAGGTAATATGCTGTTAAAAAACATACGCTGATAGGATTTTTTAGTCCCAATCTCTCCGTTATTGAGTCAACAGATCTGCAGAAATCCGCACCTTTTTTATCCATTTTATTCAAAAAAAAAACCGATGGAATTGAAAATTTCTTCGCCTGTCGCCACACAGCTATTGTTTGTGCCTGTACACCGGCTGATGCATCCAAGATAGTTACAACACCATCTAACACTCGAAGACATCTTTCTACCTGTAATAAACAAGCAGTTCAAAGATAGAAAGAAAGAATGACTTAAGCTTGATCTAAAATAATGTTTCGGAAAATTTTCGTAATTGCATATTTTCTGAATTGCCATATACAAGTCAACAGATAATTTCAGTTTATGATTTTGATCATTAGCAGTGAAGCTTGCAGTAAGGATGAACAAATTTTATCCAGTGCGTCCATACTTCTAGAGTGAAGTCGACATGTCCGGGAGTATCAATTAAATTGATTCTATGCTTTTTCCAGAACAATGTTACTACAGCAGACTGTATTGTAATACCTCGTTCACGTTCTAATTCCATAAAATCCGTTACAGTATTTCCTAAAATTATCCTTTAACCGTACCTTTAAACTCAACATAAAAAGTAGTGTGAAAATTTCAGAAAAATAATAACTGACCAGAATCAACGTTCCCCAAAAACTTCGTTGCACCAGCAAGATATAATAAACGTTCCGTAACCGTTGTCTTCCCTGCATCAATATGCGCAATAATGCCAATATTACGTATCAACTTCGGATCCACATTCAAATTCATTGTTTTACTCGAAATTGAACCTGAAATTAATCCATTTAACTTGTTGACTGTTTGGGCAAACACGGAATCAATCAACATGATGAGATGTCTTAATCAGTACATAACATGACGTTGGAAATGACATTAATGAGGTTAACCTTTTGGTATCCTTGGTCTGTAAGTGCACAACATTCGAATATTACATCTACCTGTGTAAAAGCACTTAAGATTCAGCTTCATCATTTTAGCGTTAAGTAATCACTGTCCCTTTCAAGACTATTTACATTCCTGAAACATTATCAGCTGATTAATATAATAGGGCTTCTTTTTAATTGACCGGAAAAGATGTAAGTACTGAATGATCGGTCATGATAATATTAACGGTATATTAGTAATAATGATGATAACGATTACAAGATGATGCACATGGAAGTTTACGATAGGGAGAGCAAGTGATAGCAGTGATGATAGTGATAATGGCATAATAAGGATGAAAGTAAGAATAATGTGAAAAACAAGGAAGATGGCTGACATACGGGAAGAAAGCAATATTCATAATTTCACACCCAGAAAGACATGGTAATGCGAGATATAACGGACCACCGTGGTGACGTGAGGAGGTAAGGAGAGTAATATTGACGTGTAGTTGTTTATGCGTACGTTCATGTCGTCCTTGAATTCATAATAACTTCATTTTTTATTTTCAGTGTTATCTTTTTGTGTGTAGCAATTTTGATATCTGCAATTTCCTGTAATTCTCGGCAATTTTCCTTCAGTAATTCATAATTCATAGTTTAAGAAATTTTATTGGGAAATGTTTAAAATTCTTTTTGTTTTCTTTTTTTCTTTTTCAAGCTTTTACTGCAAAGGTTGTGTGCTGACTTATTTGTCACAGGATTATGATTGAACACATTTTATTGGTTACTCTATTTTTGAGAATAGTTTGATCTTAGGAATTTGAATGAAAAATAAAGATGTCTGGTGTGCTGGATCGTTCCCATCTTTCACTGCCATTAAAAAGTATTACCACGAGAGATAATAGTGGTGTACCGGAAGTTGCGAACACAGATTCAAGACCGATGCAGCAAAAGCTTATGAAGAGTTTTAGCACGCCAGCAGATTACTTCATCCCTGCACCCGAGGTATTTACCTTTATATTTTTACCAAAGACTTTTAATGCTTAAAATGAAAATGACGAAAGCCTCTGTAAGCATTAGATTCTACCTATCGCAATAGTTTGTTTCATTACGTCTTTGGATCGTCTTTGGAAAAACAAACTTAAATCAGTAAGTACGAAATTCATTAGTAACAGTTTTATTTTCTGGTAAATTAAACAGCTGGTTTAATGTTTTCTTTTTATCCGTACGTCTGATTTAAATGAATTCCAGGACTTACACTTTTCGTCGTCGTCTTCCAACTCGTTAAAGGGATCCGGAAGTTATCCACCTTTAAGTCGTGCACAAAGGTAAGCTTTCGTGTTTTACATTTGAATTTCGAATTTTTTATTTTGAAAGAAAGGTTTTTTTTTTTTGTTTTGTATATTCTTTTAAAGAAAAACTCTCCATTTTCTTTCTGTCATCATTTCCCTTTCGAAATAGGTTTTCATTATATTAAAAGCAAACTATATGGGATTTTGTTATTTTTTTAATATTCTATACGGTTTAGCATGGTTTGTCATTATTTATTTATTTTTTTTTGATTGGATTAATCTCGTTCATATAGCTGTGTAGCGTTAAACTATTTTTAGTTGCTTTCAAGGTAGGTATTTGGATTTCTTTTTCCAAATTTCCAATTAAGCTTAGTTGTATTTTTCGGGTAGACAACTTAATGTTTCAGCATTCGAGACACAATTTCAAACGGGACAGCAAAGTTTTTCGGTGTCCCACCATCAGAAAGCTGCCAGTCTTCAATCTGTGTACCTGTCGATCAGAAGTGGAGTTGCCGCCGACTGCGGTTCATTAGTAGACATTATGGAAATCCGAAAGAAGACATATTTACACGAGAATTAAGGCTACAAAGCATGTTATAGCAATTTTAATAATCATTACTTAAATATGTATATTTAGAGTTATCTGTGAATTGATGGACCTAACAGAAGATTAGAATAACACGTAACAGCAGTTTTTTTTTTTTTTCAAATAATGCAGTTTAAAATTGTAAAGTTACTTGTAGTCAAATACCGTAGTCAGTTTATAACTTTATACCTTTTACCATTTCAACTTTTTCTATTTAATGCTAATATTTTATTAGCTTTCGAGAATTTAATATTCGTTTTGGAATTATTACGGTAGAAATAATGATATGCAGGTGTAGCTTCAGTTCTGGATGATCTGACGGATGTTCCATTACCATCAAAGAGTGTTACACCACAGAGCGAAATACATGAAGATGTATTTTTAACATCTGAAATTGGAGCCGTTGTAAGTTTTGAAACAATGTAGCAAAAAGGTTGTGATGATTGTAAGTTGTAAATATTTGCCAAAATAAGAAATATAGTAAGTGAAATGTTGAATCCTTCAATTTTACGAAAAACTCATTCTCAAGGAAATTTATTTTTTAATTTCATTGCTCAGTAGCAAGAATTTTTTCTTAAGAGATTAATTTTCAGAGAACATTTTGTAGAAGTAAATCGGTAGGAAGCCGTGGAAGCAGACTTATTCAGCAACATCTGGAACGACGCGACAGTGTTATAAGAATGATTTATGACGGAATTTCTTCCATAGTACAAAGGTTGCAATTGTAATTTTTTATCACATTTGTGTATTTGTGTATTGTAGGTTTAACCTCTGCTTTGTTGCCCTTGAGTGATATATGCAAACTTATTTATTTGTCTCCTCATTTTTAAACGTTTTGGTATAGTATTCAGAGACAGCTATGATTCGTGTAACATTGGTATTTCTTTTTAATATTGATTTTCAACTTTTAGCATCGAAATTATCTTTTTCAGGGGGACGTTGAGACCTAAAAAAGACTATGCTACAGTCAGACGTGGACGATCAATATCGAGCAGTTTTGCACCATTTTCAGTACAACAGGCTGGAAACATTACTCACATAAAAATTGGGCCACGAGCTATAGATGCCCCTGTCGGTAAAAATAATATTTCAGTAGATTTTTGCGCAGTATTAACTGTATTTGTTAATTTGGTACAATTTGCAAAGAGATTTTATGAGTTTTATGAATTTTATCAGCAGTAATATGGTAGTTTTTTCGCAGAGTTGTTTATCTGCAATTTAATTTCGGGGAATCTTTATTTCTTCATTTGCTTTGTTTCAACTTTCATTATTACATATTGCAAGACAATAAGTTTTAATTTCCGAATTTTTCTTTTTTTTTTTTTTTTTTTCTAAAAACTTTTGAAACTAGCGTCTTAAAAGTATAAAAGTAGTCTCAAATTTCAGTTGTTCGTAACCAATGATTTTGAAATAGTTGAAATTTTAATGCTTATGAGTAATGTATCATATTTGTACTTACCAGCAGACAGCATGCCTGCGGTCGTGGAATTTGCCATTGAAAGTCATCATTTGGTGAATACCACGGACGTATCTCAAAAAGAAAACAAAAAAAAAATTGGAGTTCCTTCAATGGAAAAGGTGAGCATTTAGAAAGGATTCCAGTTTTATCCAGAATCTAAGATATCGGATCATGTTTCAGATTGATATGGATTAAAATCTGTTCTGAATTGATGAAGTGATTAAAATATTCAATTTTCAGAATCACCCAGTAATTAATTTCCCGTCAGAGGTAGAAACTGCTGTTCATGTTGCACTTCCGAGGGAAATTATTGGTCAGAAAAAACCTCTGTTGCGTTCAGAATTGACAAAATATGATATACCTGTAGTTTCTGTTGTGAAACCACAAGTTCAAGCACAAACTGTTACTGACCGTGAAACGATGGGTGAAAAGGCATAAGTTTGCTACTATTCTTAATATCTAAACTTTTGGGTCAGTAATTGAAACACTTTAAGATTTAATATGTATCTAGGTTTTGTCCAGATTTTTTCAAGATGTCCCATTTGAATTTTGAGCTGAAATTTAGAAACTATAAGCATAGCAATGCAGAAGATAAAGAGATAGAAAACGAGTACAAGTTCAATAACTTAATGAAAATGAGCATTCTATGCTAATTCTAGGGTATTTGAAGGGTTCTGCACCGTTTTCAAGTACAGAGTCTATACAAGACGAAGTTTTCTTCGATTATACATTACCAACAGTTTCGTCTAATATTTCCGACACCGACCAAGGTATTTCCTTATTTCATTTTTTATTTTTTATTGATCTTTTGACCTTTATTACTGTATGTTTTTTTTCCAAAGAATTTTTTTGCTTTGTCAAAATAGAAGTGTCTTTTATTTAACAAAAAATTTTGTTAAAACACCAGTGTTGAAAGATTTCCATGTCTTCTTTTTGTTTTGCAGAGGGAGTTATTTGCAGGAGCATATCTTTCTATTTCACGAGTATTTTTTTGCATAGGTTTTTTGTTTTTTGCATTATAATATCAAAGTACAAAATAGATTACCAATTTAAAATATGGATAATTGAAATATATTTCATGATCACTTATACCGGTATCACTAAAATCTTGTGTTAGTTAAAATATAGGTTCTGTTTAATTTAAGAAATAAATAACCACTGAGCAGTTTTAGCAAGGAAATGCATTAGTATGTCAATGAGTGAAAAAAAGTTAAAATAAGAGTTCGAAAATTTTCTTCCTTTATTCAGAAGAGCAAGCGAATTCTTTGAGTATGCATCGCTGTCAAGAATTCAGTGTCGGGAGGTTTCCATCTGTGGCGAGATATAAAAAGGTAATTTTTCTCTGTGCTGCTATTCATCGAATTCCGATGATGATTCATTCAGTCAGTTGAAATATATGTACTATTTCTTTCATGAGATTTAAGAATTCTTCTGAATTTGATTTTGGATTAAAACAAACTTTTGACATCGATACAAATAACAATTTTTGAACTTTTTTTTTTGGAACTGCCTTTTGTCTCATTAAGTTTATCAGAAATTTCATTACTCACTGCCTTTAAGTTTTGCTCTGAAGACGATCCAGTAGAATCCGACACGGGAAATCGATGTGAAAATGGATCTCCAGAGAGGGAAATGCAGCTGCATTATTTGGATGAGGTAAAAAAATTAATTGCAGCAGCTTCAAGAGATTTTTGTGTTTGAAATAGTTTTATGAAGCCTACTTATGCAAGCATGTTTTTTACTTAAGATGTGTTTGACAAAAAGTAGTTTAAAAATCAAATAATACATGCAATTAGAAGTTTTGCTGTCTCTGAGCAGCCCCATTAATGCTTTGCCGCAATTTTTAGAGGTATGCTTTTAAACCCAATAAAGAGAAGCGAAAAAAAAACATTTCGTGGTTTTTCGAGAAATATTTCTCAATAATTTCGAATTTGCAAACAAATCATCAGCAGAATATTGTTTGCTTTTAGAAGTAGATCTTTATACGTTTATTTGATTCCAACTCTGCTGATCCTAGTTCATATTACCTCCATATGTAAATCTTAGTCGCCATCATATTGATCAAATTTTTCTTTGTTTCTCGAATAAAATGATATCTATTTTATTAAAAGCTACGATGAGTTTCTTTTCTTAGTTTCTCAACCTTTTTCTTTTATTTTTTAGCATATATATTCTTTTCTATTTTAGCATGTAACAATCAGATTATTTTGAATTAAGTACTATGTTGTTTCTAACTTATTTCCTTTCATAATAAAATTATTTTTTAGGAATTAATACCTTTTGCATCATTACACAACACTTTTCCAAACTCAAAAGTAAGCCCTTGCTATGTCATTTCTATGACATGGCTTCTGTGTCACTTTCCAAAAGTTTTTAGAAATTATTTCAGGAATGGCTGCAAAACATTCAAACCGCTAGTGAGAAAATGACCAAAAGAACTATAGAAACTTGCAGAAGCGTGCGAAAGAAATTATTGTTAGATGTAAGTTAAAATGCTGTCTAATCAACAATGTCCGCTTTGTCTATTGGAAAATGATAAGATTTTAGGTAGTTTGCTTCGTTTTCATATGCTGATATATTTGCTGTTATTATTCATTATTATTAATTATTATATAGAAGATGCTGGGAAATCGCTTCATTCCAGTGTAACAGTAGCATATTAGATGTTCAACCGAAAATCCATCAGCATCATTGAAATTTAGTTAAAAGTATTTTACATTTCTATGACTAAAAAATTGTCTCATATGAACTCTGGCGTTAGTTTTAGACAATCCATAGTGAGCTGAAATCAAGAAAGTATTCTGTTGCACATCGTCGGCGTTTTGGAAGTGGTTTTGGAATATGGCGGAAATATTTTCACCGAGCTTATAGGAAGGATGTTTATCAACTGAATAACGACACTTATATTGACTGTAGGTGTGTGGTTAGTGGAATATTTTGAAATGAATGAAAACCAATTTAATCAATTTAAAATAACCTAAAGATAGCTTCAAATAGTTTGAGTTACAGAATGATAAAGGACTGTGCGAGAAAGATGGGTGGGTAGCTATTACTTCAGTCAAAGTAAGATTTGCTTTTAAAGAAAAGTTTCCATTCACGTTTATTTTCAGGCCTTTCTTCACTTACTGGATTACCACAGTTCAAATACTTGTTACCATAATCAGTTTGTACACCTATGGAATTGGTCCTTGGGGATTCGGTCTTATGGAGAGGACAGCTGATGTTTTGCACACTACTGTTACTTTAAAGAGGGTCAGTATTTATGCGCAGCAAAATATTTGGCTTGGACCAAAATTTGTAAGTTTAAGTAGCTATTTTTTCTTTTAATTTGGTGTTTAAATATTTTTTTAAATTCTAATCAGTTCAGTTATTGAATTTCAACTTTTATCTACTTCTTACAAAAATCGCGAAATATTTCAAGTTATAAGAGACGTGTTCATTGGGTTGAAAAACCAGCTATTAATTGTATTAAGTAAAAATAAAAGCAGTAAACTAGGCAATCACGAGCTATCGTTAGGGCCCGTATATGATCATTCATCACGAACGATTTATTTTGAATGTAGATTTGCTAACAAATCATTTACTTTATAAAAAAGTATTATTTACATTGTAAAAAAGAAAGTATGTGTTGAAACTATGATATACGTTGAGTTTTGAGGCTGATTTGGTACATCTGGGTGCTAAATTTACACCTTGTATGCGCATGGATCCAAGAATTTTCGAACAAATTAAAGCCGATCGCAAGGAAGAAAATGAAACCGGGTGCTGTATTTATAATGATGGTATTGGTTGCTTTCAAACTGGGCGGAATACTTGTCCAGTATGTTTTACAGTTTATATTGCCACCTGTGCAGTGAGAGTTTTTGTTATTTTCTGCATATTTTTTTTTGCAGCCATTTTATGTTTAAAATTGTCCTCCTGCGCACCAAAACGGTTAAAGAAAATATGTTGATCTTAGTTTTACTGAAACTTAGCAGAGTATTGAAGACATTTTTAATTCAGTGCTTTTTATTAAGCTTGTGATTTCTTATTCAGGATTGTCAGTAATTTTTATTTTCTGGTGTTTTTTGATCTATTTAAAATTATTTTTCAAAAATAATTAGCAAACATTTCTGAAGTAAATATTTTTGTGCACAGGATCCTCAAGAAAAAAATTGGGGAAACAAAAATGAATTTGATATAGCGTTATGAAATATTGTCAATAGAATGAATGAAAATCTTAAGAGTAGGGTAGTAATGTTTAATAAGCGATGAGGAAGTATTAATGAAAAAAAAAAAAAAAAAGAATACTTTGTTAAGCAATTCAGATATCTAATTTTTAGTCTCTGATAGCCACACTAGCAAAGTGGAAAAACGATAAGCCAGGTCCAGATGGTCGCATATCGGGCGCTGTTTGTGGGCAAGATCCGAGGTATACTTATAAATTGTTCGTGATTATTTTTAATCAAATTTTGGTAGTATTTTTGTGAAATATTTTTCGAAAGTCAAGGAAAAGTGATACAGATATTGCGACGATCCAGTGTCCGTGAAGCCGTACGAATGGCCGGATGATATAACACAGTGGCCTGTAAGTTTATTATTATTGGTATATTGTTTTATTTTTGGACGATAGTTAATGAATATCGCGATGGAGCAGTGCCGGTAATTACCGGTAATTAGTTGCTTTAATGTGGAAATAATTATTGGGCAAATGAACAGTGTATTTAAAAATTTATTTTTTTCACAGACATGCAAACAGATGGCTTTCCTCGTACCCGAGAATGTGGTGCACATGCAGTGTGAAATTACTGGCCGACCTTGTTGCATACAGTTGCACGGACAGTGTCGTATAACTACCAGAGATTATTGTGATTTTGTGGAAGGATATTTTCATGAAAATGCAACACTGTGTTCACAGGTATAGTTACTTTCATTACTACTACTATTTATTACTATATCAGCTGGGAAAAAATCAAGACAAAGTTTTTATTGATAATACATCATGATAAAATATCGTGAAAAGAACTTATAGTAACATATCAAAAATGAAAGAAGGGTGCTAATAATATATCAGTATTAGTCAAATCACTGTTTAATATTAATTTTCACATAGTTCTTAAATTAAATCCTTCACTACTTGTCATTTGTTTTTAATTTTATTTTAGGGAAGCATGACGGAAAATATTAACAATGATTTTAAAACAAATGACATAGTCTTATTTCCTCAGTGTAAAAAACTGCCGTTAATATGAATTTATTACAGGTGTCATGTTTGAGCGAAGTTTGTGGAATGCTCCCATTTTTGCGAAAAGATCAACCAGATCAATGGTATCGCCTTTTTATACCACTTTTTCTGCATGCGGGGTCAGTTTCGTCATGTTTGTTTTTGCTAATGTGACTACTTAAAGTTTGTAAGTGAAAGCTTTTTATTTTGTCATGCTTGTACAAGTTTTGCTTTTTTTCCAGGATAATCCATTGCATTTTAACAATTTTTATTCAAATTCTATATATGAGGGATTTGGAGAAACTGCTTGGTTGGGCGCGCATAGCACTTCTTTACATGGTATCCGGCGTTGGTGGATACTTGGCTGGTGCAATTTTTGTTCCTTATAGAGTAAGCAAATTACATGTATGTGATTAATCGGGTAATCGAACAGCAGAGTTTTGACCAGTTTTAAAATAAGAGAATCGATGATTAGAGTGTATGCACTGCAAGAAAATAAATCAATTGAATATTTAAGCCAGAAGTTGGTCCAGCAGGATCACATGTTGGAATGTTTGCTGCGATGTATGTTGATGTGCTCTATAGTTGGTAAGAACTTTTTTTAAAACTTCCAAAAGGTATATAAAATTTCCAGTTTTCGTGGATTATAAAATTTTGATGGTTTTTGATGTGTAAGAGGATGATTTAATTTTGAAAAGTTAAAGATAATTATTTCTTACATTTATGTGTCTCTTTGATAATTATCAGTTAATTATGTTTTTTTTAGGAATCTTCTAGAAAGACCTTGGCATGCAGTTGTGCAACTGAGCTTATTTACTCTAGCGCTTTTTACTATAGGAACATTACCGTGGGTTGATAATTGGGCGCATTTATTCGGCTTCATCTTCGGAATTTTGATATCTTTAGGTGTGTTAATCTAAGCTTCGAAAATTCGACGAATTAATCCGTATGAATTCTTAAAATTGCGATTTGCCGTGATTTTATAAGTATCAATCAATTTTTTTCCGCAAAAGTTTGCTGAAATTGAAATTGTTTTTATCATTGGAAGATATAATATGCCATTTTTAATATCCATTGGATGGAATAAGTACTAGCTGAAAACTAAGCACATTATAGTATGTATCTGCTTGACGATTAATGTTTTCAGCTGTACTTCCATATATTCAGACAAAGCGTCATAATCGCACCCGACGAATAATAATTGTGGTAACATCACTTACCACCGCACTTAGTTTATTTATCGTTCTGTTGGCTGTGTTTTATTGGCCATCCGGTTTCAATTGCGTGTATTGCGAGTACTTCAACTGCATACCCTATACTGATCATTTCTGTGATAACCAAGGATTACGATTGAAGAACTGGTTACCTATATGATGCTTTCCCAATATGATTTCCATCATCACTTTATAACATGTTTTACTTTTGATGTGTTCGATGAATTTATTTTCATTATAGCTCTTTACTATCCTTTTTCTCCATTGACTGTGATGATATATTTATGTCATTTTGCAAGGAGTTTAGATTTTTTGAAACTTTTATTAGTTTAAATCTCATGAGAAGAATCGCTTGGAAAAAAATTTTTTTTCTGTTTTATTCTTTAAGCTTTCATATTAGGGAATTAGCTTTTATTTGCTTTATGATTGTTTTGAATATTATTCCAAAAAATTATTTCTATTCCATAAGCTTGTTAAACATAACAGTATTAGTTTTTTTTTTGCATATCATCTTCCGGTGTTATTATAAAGATTCGTTCGATCATAATTATCTGTGCGTTATAACCTTAAATCTGTTTCAAAAAATGAATCGAATCTTTCTTGTTATTTCTATTTCACTTAAAATTTTTAATTTTATCACTTTGTTCATCACTTAAAATTTTTAATTTTATCACTTTGTTCGCTTAATACATATGTGTGGCAAAGATTTTGCTTTGTCTTGTGTGCATTTTATATACTTCGTCTAAATTATGTTTTTTTATCTTACGAATATTTCCTTATTTTGGTGAATACATTTCAAACAAAACATTTATGTTAATTGGATTAGCCTTCTAAATTTTTTCGCCTTATTTAGTGCTGAAGTGTGATTGGAACTACCGAAACATATGATTTTAAAACTGTATTAAATGCCTGAGAGCAATGCTGAGGATAATTCTGTTTCTGTCAGAACTGTCTTACCAAATAGATGATAAATTGTTTTAAAAGACAAAATTTGCCTTAGATGTACAAATATATATATGTATGATAACTGCTTTTAAGCATATTGCTGCCTTTTGATTACACTGTATACTTTGTTGTTTATATTTATTATTGCACTTCTTAGTAAAGTGTCCGTCAAACCCTGTGTTTTTGACCTGTCCGCCATTATCAGATTCAATAAATTCTGACTTAATTATATTTGTGATAAATGGCCAAAAGTAAAGGTAGCTAAGACTCCAGTTGAATCCTATTCTTATGAATTTTCGTAAAGTTCAGTGGAAATTTCAATTGAGCCTTGTGAAAATTGAATTTTATAAAATGTTCAGTTAGGATTTGGTATTCGTCATTCGTGTGGCCGTTTTAATATATATACATATGTGTGTGTGTGTGTGTGTGTGTTGTGTGTTGTGCTTAGTGATATGGAATTATTGGTTAGAAGTGGTTAGAATTTTGGTATAATCAGGTCCTCAGTTATCTGAAGAATGAGTATTTCCAGCCTGTTGAATGGCCACAGTCAGTTTTAGCTAAATTTTAATGAACTGATGGTTATTTTTACCTTAAGTACAGTTCTTGTACAAACACTTATTAGAGGATTATTTAATCAGAAATTATACAAACTAAGTAAAAATTAAAATGACTCATATAATGTAACCCATAGAACTACTATGATTTTTTGTGGCTACACGTCACTTTTTCAGCCCTATTGGCTTGATTCATCAATCCTTTGTGTCAATTCGCTGACAGATGCTTTCAATTAATCGCTTATTGGAATCGATCTGTCTTTTGCAAATTTTAAAGACCATTAATACTTTGGTCAATGTAACTATCTGTTATCCAGTAAATATTATTTTCAATTTCAGATACTGGAAAAGACTGCAGTCCTATTAGATTTTAGTTTTTGTCAAATACTTAAGAAGTTAAATCTGACTCCATAATTTATTTTATACATCAATTCTGTAGACAAAGAGGTCTAATTGCAAAAGTAGCCTTGGTTTGGTGTTAAAGTTCCTTCGATGACTCTATTAGGATACAGGATATACCCACAACTTCCCTCGGAAACATTACTCATCAGATGCATCTCGGAACAGTGTTGTTACTTCTAACTTTAAGGATCCATTTTGACTTCTACTCTTCCTTCCTCTCTTCCAGAATTCCTCTCTCCCCACCTGTCCATCATTCATCAACACTCCAGAGATCTCACTCTATATTTTGCGCCCCTCTTCTTCTCCCTCTCCCTTCCATCTCTATCAGCAACCCTTCACTCTTCGTTCCCATTTCATCACTGTTACTCTCCTCATCCCTTCAAAAAGTGTGGAATGGTGGTGGCCGCTCAGATACTCCTCAGATGATGATGATGGTCCTTGTAATGGTTGTCGTGGTCAGTGCTAGTGGCTCTTGTGTTATGTCGTGTCAATGTGTCTGCATTTTGACCCCAGCAATCGAACAGAGTCCATCTCTGCTCTCCTTTCTCTGCTTTACAAGCAAGAGTTCACAATGTTTATTAACCTCAAAGTAATGTCAATTCATTGATTTTAAATATTCTTATTGTCATTTTCATTCCTCTTTGCAATGATTGTTCCATTCATTCTTTTCTATCAAAATGAGATTGTAGTGTTTCTTCTTTGATCTCTCTCTACTGGCTTTTTTCTTCATTGTCTTTTTCCATTTTGCAGCTTTGCAGGATAATAGTTTCATCGCCTTAAAACATAATTTGAGTTCGTAACATTTTATTGCTTCTCTTACTGTTTTTTTTACTGAAAGTGGTAAGCTCGTTCCATTGCTTGTAAGTAATTGTGATGAAATTTCATAATTCTTGAATTGTTTTCATGTAGAAGTTTTTAACAAAATATATTTTATATTTTGTTAGTACTCTAGAAATTTAGAATCAGTGATCAATTCTTGAAATACAAAATTTGCGATTAAATTGACATAAATATCTTCTTGGTAAAACTATTTATAGAAATTATATGATTAATGCGTTCCAAGATGACATGATCCTTTACTCTTTAGTTGAAATTTTATTTAGCATTATTAGAATTGTGAATTTTTAATTTTGTATAGTTGTAGTAAATATATGATTTTCCAGCGTATAGTTGAAACAGTTTTCGCGGAAAGCAGAAAACTAGGCGAAGGATTTTGGTTAGAAAAATGTATGAATAGGGGAAGAATGAAACTGTAAAATTTGATAATTGAAGAGCGTGCCATGATGTGTTCATTCGCTAAATTTAATATCTCTCAAAATATCTTAATGCACACAATTCTATTGTTGAATTATCATATCTCAATTATTCTGATATCTCTTTTCTCCTATTTGACATTAGAATGAAATTGAATATCTGTATATTATAAAATATGAATTGTGTTCGATGACTGATTCCCACGCCCTTCATTCTTTTTATAATTTGCAGTCTTTGAGAAAAATAACTTCATAACAGTTTTAGTTTTTTAATCCAATATTCAGACATTTTTCATTTTGCTTGAATTATTTATGTTATTCCAATAATAATATGCTTTATATAGTTATGAATTCCAGATCATTTCGGATAATTATGTATTACTTAATTCCTGATTACCATTCATTCAAATCTCCATGCGCTTTATTCTTTTTCCAACTTTCAGTTTTTAAGATGATTATTTAGGAAAAAGTGGAACAGTCAGTGACTTTATCAATTGAAAACCAGTAATTCAGTTACTCAACAATGTATTTAATAACTTAGTTCGTTCCGTGGTCCCTTCCAGAAACGCTAATTTCTGTTTAAATTTATTCATTTGGATTTTTGTTAATACTTACACTTGTACTTCCTCGTTTTGTAATAGTATTAACTTATTGATGATCCCTCACTTCCTTTAAAAGTGCGTTTGTTATTTCTGCGGCTCTCACTATCAACAAATCATTTCTTCTAGTAGAAGTTTTATCATGATTATTTTTAGAACTATTACTGAGAATTCTTTCCTAAGTGCAAGGTAATTATGCACACCTAAAATAATGGGTAAAGTGTATTAGAAGTTAGATGATTTAAGTCTACGTATCTTTCTATTTAATAAGATATAGTTTCAAGGACAGTTGTCAAAACTTAAGCGGCTTTTAATGAACAGATCTAGTATTAAACGAACTTACTGGAGGTGTTTTCATACTTGTACTTTATATATGGTATGTATTACTGCTTAAACATTATAAAAGTAACAGAAGTGTTCCCGACAGAGTTCTTATGCAAAGGGTTAAAGTTTATTGAATCGCTTAAAGCAAATTTAAAAAAAAAAAAAAGCAAATTTAAGCGTGTCGGATATATTGTGCAAAAGATTAAATGTTACAAAAGGACATAACAGACTGGATCTGACTGTAAGAATTTATGTTTTTTTTTTTTTTTTTTTATGTGCTTTTATAATATTTCAATATTAAGTGATAAGGTTTGGTTTATTTTAGCCCTGGCTATGTTGGTAATGATTAGTTTGAATCATACTTTTACCATTAATTTGCATATATTTTTGCTTTTAATATATTGTCTCATTAAAATAGTAAAGCTGCAAATTCTTCAGATAATTCTTAATATTAGATAATGATTTCTCCTAAGTTACTAGTGTTCCTTAATAATAATAATTATAGACAGTATTAATCCTGCCTCAAATAATTAATTTATCAGAACTAAGATTTTTTGGTTAAAAAGAGTTGAAACTAAGCTAATTGAAATGTCGTTCATAATCTGTAGCTGACAATTTACTACTTTAGTAAAACAACCGCTCGAGTACCCTTATTGTCACTGTTCCCATTTGTAGCATTCAGTGCTTACAATATGGTCCTTGACTTAAAGGTATGTAATTGTGTTGTTGGAATTATCTTTTCTTTCAGACAAACTAATTGCATAGGATAGAAGTATCGAATTATGCAGTTTTAGTACGTTTCTCAATAATTAAATGTTGAAATTTTTGTAGTTATCCTATTGAAGTGTTCATTGTTTGCAAGATTTTCCGTCCCGAACCTATTTTCAGTCTCTAGTACAGAAGTTCTTTTCAGGGAATTAAAATATTCATTGTATTGCATCTTCCAAATCTATTGGCATCATTAGTATCCATTCTGAATTCGTTTATACTATAGTACCCTTCGAAAAATTGATATCAATTATCGCTCCTCTTTAATAAGGATGAGTATAAAATATTAATAGAGATGAAGAAGAAAAGATGCAG